CAGACATGGGTGTAGCGAAGGTGATAAAAAATGAATTTGTCATATTCTAAATGCCACTTTGGGTTTTTTACCACAATGGCAAATAATGAAGCAGGACACCTTCCCGTCCCTTGTGATATCACTCCATTCTCTTTCACACCCTTAATGACAGCTAGACCGCACAAATAGGACTAGGTTCCATTGGCCATTTGCACGTTGTTTGCCCCCTAAAGTGGGGCCACCCTAAGCATTATGGTATTTCTGACAGTGTAGTATAACGGAACAGACAGAGATAGCAAACGAATGGGCCGGCTAGGAGAAATTGTAGGTAGTTATATATGTATATGTTTAGGTGTGCATTGCAAATGTGAATCAGCCTAGGTCAACATTCATTCGAGCTCCTTACTTTTATTTTATCTATTTGTTAATAGGCTTTTGGCAGCTAGTTTTTGCGCACCTCCGCCCCCGAGTTGTCGGCACCGCAGCTGATTTCAGCAGGCGGGGATATAAATTCCCTTTTTTCCACAGAGTGATTTTGGGTTTTCTTTTCAGGTGGTGTCGTACTTAGTTTCTTTGGAGGTTTGTGTTTCGCCATAGAGTTTTTGTAATTAAGTGCGGTCTCGTAATCTTACGGTAATTTTGCGATAAACTGGCTTTGAGGTCCTTGCTGACCTTCAGGCCCCTGTGTCTATTCTTGTGTGGGTGTCTTTCTGGGTAGTGTAGGCAAAGTTTGTATTGCTCGTTTCTGACGTAAAGTCACGGCCGCCATGATGGTGGTCAAGAACAAAAGCATTTCTGTCCTCTGGGAACTAAACTCTATTTTCATGTAAATTCTTCGAGAAAAAATTCTCTTGAATTGACCACCAACTTGGCCGCCTTGTACGTGGTTGCAATCCAAGAATACGCATTGTCTTCATTTTCCTTTGGGACGACTATAATACCCGGGAGAAATTAAACCGAGGTTATTTTACTAAATAGACTGCATTCGTATTCTTGACAAGTGACTGCAACTAGCTTAGCTTGCAGTCGAGGGCAGTGTAAGATGATAAAGTGCATGAGAGCCTCAATGTAAGCTAGTTCCAGTCCACTACCACGATAAAGAATGGGCAAGTGTAAGATTGAAGCCCAACGCCTCAGCATCGCTGGCTCATGGCTGAGAGCATCTGAGCTGAAGCAAAGATGTTTTGTGCTCACCCTGCAGGATGTCATTTCTTGTCCCGGATTGATGGTCCAACTATGTTTGAGCCCCTAGAACTGTGCTGTAAGAGTAGCGCGCGGTTCTCGTTCTATCCTCCCTTTGCCCCCTTCACCCGTATTGAGACGGATAATCCATCTTCAAAATCTGTCAATATTGACGGATAAGCAGATGGTCAGGTGGATTGTTCATCCAAAATTAAAACTGTTCCATTTTCAAATTAAGGTGGCTTGCTACAGTTTATTTTTCCAATAAAAGCGTCAAGGTCTCTCACGCATACAAAACTCGCGCGAGCGAGACAAGAAAAACCCCGAGATCAAACAATATGAAAACCAACAAGCATCAGTATATCTCATGGCCTGCGAAGCGCAAACGCATTTCCGGTCGTCGCTTCTCTCCCTCCGAAAAATAGCGCCTGCGAAGTGCGAACCCGAGCGGCAAAACGATTTTCCGTGACGTAAGAACTTTTGTTTTCTTGTTGACCAATCAGAATGCACGATAGATATAGTTCGTGTTTTTCTCGCGCGAATTTGCGAGACGCGTGTCCCGGGTATTGGCGCGATTCCCAACTGTGGCACGTGAAATCGTCAAACATGCAGAGGGAAACTCATAAGAAAATCTGCCACGATGGTGAATCTTGTTTTCTCTGTAAAGGAACGTTTTCGGTCGCTAAAGAAAAAATACGTGTGTTTGGTAAAAGCCGTTTTGACATATTGTTTTTGATACATCGTGCTTTAAATGTCGATCTCACCGTTTACGTTGACCGTGAACAGCTGGCGATTTGCCGCACTCAGTGTTAGTCGAATTGTACGGTACAAGAATGCTGTACAAAAGGTAGAAGAAATTGGAGGTGAAATCAAGCGAAATTTTGGCGGTGATTTTCCTTTTCGCGTCAAAAGGATGGCGAAAGTCCATTTTAACACATCGGAGGCCAAAAAATGTCTTGATTTTGGGGATACTCCGTCGACAGCTTCGCCTGGTACGCCGACTAATTTGCATGTTGCAGAAAAAAGTGCAAAAATTTTTCGGAGAGAAGCGACGACCGGAAATGCGTCTGCGCTTCGCAGGCTATATATCTCAGTAAGATACTATCCGTATGTTTTTAAAAAAACGCTGTATAATGAAAGGTTGTATATAAAATGCATACTCCAAAATCGGTTTGGATTGTTATTGACAAATACACAATAAATACATATTTAAAAGAAAGGTTTCAGACCGAAAGCATCTTCGATTTAGTGAATTGCCACTGAACTGTACATATTCGTTTCTGTTGTATTCATTTTTGTACTTCGTGAGATCAATACAAATTAGTATTTTAAAAGAACAGGAAAACCTAAATCCAGTTTGCCCACCTCGGTAAGCAAATCGCTTGTTTCATTCGCCTCTTTCCCGGAGCAAATTATGACCTCAATTGTAATTCAGTTTGTTCGCCTCGTTGCTCCATTCACCTTGTTAGAAAAAGTAGTGAACTACAACAGGAAGGTTATCTACTAAAAACTATTCTGCTGAGTTGATTGTTTAAAAATTCTAGGATAAAAAATTTTGACCGCCATTTCACTTTGCTAGCACGTTGGAGAAGGTGCTACGCAGCGGGAACTGAGAACTGGTAAAACAGCGAAATAAACTTCCAAACAAACTACCCCACAAATCGAGTTCTCAGACGATTTCAAGACAAAAACAGATAGCTTCCCTGTGCGGGCCGCAATTATTCCTAAATTTAGGAGGCCCAATACTTTGCAGCTTTATAATTTCTTTTCGGACTTCGGCCACTAATCAAATAATATGAGCTTTTCAAACTTCTCCATTGTAATCGTTGGTTTTAAATTGCGTAAGCCGACGAATTTGGCGAATATTACAAAATGCTGCAAATCAGATTCCAAAAGGCTAAGGTTGTTAGCAAAGGCATGAATCCTTAATAAATAATGCCGCAGAACGACGAGTTTACTCATGAATTTAACGCGTTCTTCCAAGGTGTAAAACGATATTTTTGGTATAAGTTAATACCAAAATGAAAATACCTTTATCGAATAATGAATATAAATGAACCATCAAGCATTGCTATTTTAATATTTTTTAGTTATTATTATCACTGAGTAGAGTGTTTTGAATTGTTATATAAATATGTTCTACTAGAGTGTACTGGGCTTACAAAAGCTATTTGTTTTTCGTTAATAAGGTTTGGCCTTCCTTTGTAAAGATGCTCTTTTGGACGTCGGTTTCTCTTTGCACACGTGCCGCTATTCAATTAAAAAATTATGCTTTTTGTTTAAACTGAACCCACATAGAGGTTCTTAAACTAATTACTTCTGATAAATTTAACGACATTTGTTAGTTATCTTACATTAATTGGCTTAATTGGTTTTTCCTAAATCTTCAGAAACTGGACCTTGTCAAGTTGTCTTTTCTTGGACATTCCTATTTTTACCATCTTTCTCGTTTTTAGCAGGGGCACCCAACGGCAATTTTCGGGAAAATATCTGTTCGGAAGACGATTTGAGAACTAGAATTTTCGGAACATTTGTTGTAAAATTTCTTGCTTGCCTGCCTCTCCTAGGATTTTCGAACATCTACAAAATGGTATAATTACCTATTTTAAACGGATATTTACCCTAAAAAAGGCCACCTAGAATTTTCGGGAGCCTTTTCCTGGCTGAAATTTTCGAAAAGGTAAGTTTTGATCCCTATAATTTGCGGATCACTAACCTTTCAGCTAGGAAATCCGAACAGATGAAAAGTTTTTAGGGGATAAAAATATGCCTATATCTACCGTTTAAATACTAAAATACGTTCAACAATGCTATGTTAAGTGGTTTTGAAGTATATCCTCGTTGGGTGCCCCTGTTTTAGTGGTTTGATCGAAACTTTAGTGCGCTTCCAAAGAAAACCTTGTCCAACAGACTATCTTAGTTAACTCGTTGTGATAAACAAGCTTTTGTTACTGCCTAGTTCAATTTACTTGCTAAAAGTTGTAATGAGTGATGTCTTTGTTTAAAGGCTTTCGCAATGTAAATACCTTGCTAAATGATTTTTGACTAGAGATTTGTAAGCAATCTTTTAGTTAATATATGGAAAAAAGCCGGACTTATTACCATTGTACGATATTCCAACAAGAAACTTTTAAACGACAACTTTAGCACTGTACGAGAATTGACAAATTGTACATTTTAGAGTAACGATAGTGTACATATGTGATTTTCAGTCATGTAAATATTCCTTGTAATTTTGTCTCTCTCTGACTGTTTTGTTTTGACTGGACACTTGTTGGACAAAAGTGAATTTTGGAGTTTTAACTGACTTTCCTATTACGACACAACCTCGAAGGAAAATATGTTAATAACTCTTATAGCCAATCGAATTTTTACTGATGTAAGATTATTTTAAGTTTGAGTAAGATTGGCAGCCTTTAGATTCAGTCAGGATAAAAGGATCTGTAACTAGGTCTTGTTAGAGAGATATTACTAGCCTTGATTGTGAAAAGTTGAGCAACAAGTGACCTACATTAAAATAGTTTAAAGAGAGAAAAAGTTTGAGTTCATTGTAGAGGATTACTGTTCCCCCAAGTTTCCTACTACAAAGGAGTGCCAAATAATATTTCTGGGCTCTTTAGGTCCCCTTTGTGTAAAACTGAGTCGGAAAAAAATGAAAAGCTCCATTGCTGAAAGAACGTCAATGTGCTTGGTTTGGGAAAACGGCAGACCGCACAGTGAATGTACCTTTTTGGGGGAGCAACAGACAACACAGTCCCCCGACGCTTTCCAAAAGTGTTCTTTCTTAATCGATCCCATCAAACGTCATGGTTACCTTATCACTTCCTCTGGGACAAGGCCTACTTGGTACGAGATCTCGCAAACAAATCCAAAGTTTTGTTCACACAATTCCAACCATTTGGTACTTTGTCGACGGGGAAAATGCGATGACTGTAAACAGTGACTGTCTTTGTTTCGGAATCAAACTTTGCCAAAATACTAGCCGCCTTGATGTCCATCATGCTTTCTTGGATATGACTTCCGTAAGTCATTACAAACGCGTGGACTTTTGTGGAATGCAGCACAGTATAAAGGTTCCACTTCGGACAAGTTAAAAGGCAGAAGCGGAAGAACGTTTCACGTAACTCTTGCACCGGCGCATTCACAGCAGCAATAACACAGAGAGAAACGTCTCCTCCATATTGACGAATCCCTTTTAATGATGAGTTTTTCGGTGGCCGCAACGGTTCGCATTCCTTGTTTGCCTCAAGAATGGAGTTACAGACAAAAGAATGAACAGCTTTAGCAGTGTGAAAGCACTGCTCGCTACAGTACCTCGCAACATGACAACTTGAACATTCGATCCAATAACCATCCAACTGCAGATTTTGCCAGCATCTAGAGCACCCTCCTGACAGTGTGCAAGGGAGAACATCAGGAACATCCAAATTTCTGTTGCCACTAAGCACGGGGCTCTTGAATTCATTGCCATATTCAAGCATACCAGCATCCACTAGTTTAAGGAAATTCCATAAGTAAAATAGAATGGGAAATTCGCGAGGCCTTTTAGACAACTGTTTACATTTCAACTCCAGTGGGCAAATCTCTTTTGTATCAGTGGGAAATACATAAGGACCAAGGTTTTTTCTGAACTCGCATTTCTCAACCAAAACATTTTTTTTCCCATTTAACATGATACGAAGTCCGCCACAGTAATTGTTTTCAAACACGGTTTGTTTGCATTCTAAATTGCTCCCAACACAACACACAATTCCCCAGCCAAAATTTTGGGAAATCAAGTTTTCTTCTATTTTTAAGTTTGATCCTTGCAGTAAAATGGCATGCCGTTCATTACGACTGAATGAATTTCTCAATATTTCCCCATTGCAGCCTCCGGTGGCCATAATACCACCGAGCACGTTTAAAGAAACACAGTTTTTTCTCATGTATAAACATGCTGGGGAATTTATTTCAATTCCATACTCATAATTGGTGCTTAGGTCACTATCACAAATACTTATGTGAGAATCGGCCCTTCCTCCCTGAACAACGATCCCAGAGCCACGACACATTGATATTCTGGAGGACTTCACTGAAACGATAACTTGCTTTCGTTGATGTGCCTTCACCAGTACTCCTGTACTATTTAAAAGTTTGAGAGAACATTGGTGAAAGACCAATGATTTAACATCATTGGCCTCTACCACAGCATAACGCTCGCGTTCACAATCGGTGGTAACTTCAGTCTTAGTGGCTTGATCTGATTCTCCTAACGTTACTGAAAGTAAATTTTCTTTCTCTGCGGTACAGCTGACCTTTGAAGACTGCAACAGTTGATCGCCTTCTGAGAGTAAAAAGTTCTCAAAGGCAACATTTTCAAATAGAAAGGAACCATTGGACAAAAACAAACCTTCCTTGCAACTAAGTACTGCACATCTTCCAGGAAGACAAACAAAGTGATAGTGTCCTTTTGAAATGACAATCTTATTCAAATAGTATTTCCCACCAGCCAGAATAACAGTAACTGGATCACTTGAATTTCGGTTTCCGGAGAATTCACTGTCCAGTTCTTTAAGCTGGTTAACACGGGTGATAAACTTGTAGTTAATATTTTCACCAAGCAAACCGGGGAGTTTCTGAAATTTGTGTCGCAGCTTTTGAATATCATCTAGTTTGGAATATGCAAACTTGTAGTGAAGTACTGCCACTGCAGCTTGCGCTCTGCTGGTGAACTCGATTCTTCCATTTTCAACGAGTTTACAGAGTGCGTATGCCTTCCAATAGTAACCACGGTAAAGCTCATTGTCTGCATTAATAGAAGCATTGAAGTCATCAACAGCTGTCTCAATGTTTTCCATTCGTAAATTTGCAATGCCACGTTGACAAAAAATTGTCCCCAGAGGACGAACGTTGGATTGATTTACTGCCACGGAAAGATTGACAATCTCAGTGTACAGATCAAACGAGGCTTGATAATCGCCCCTGAAGAAAGCGTCTCTCGCCTTTGGCTCTATTATGTCTATCCCTTCTAACAATTCTTTGGTTTGATTCATGGTGCTTGATGGGACACCTGTCACTCCACTGACATTTTCAATCGTTTCCATCAATGACGAATACATCAACTTTCCTGTTAGGATACTAGGGTCTGCAAAGGGGTATAAAATTCTTGTTACTTTCATTAGTTCTTCACCTTGGTAAAAACCGATAGACGTTTTCACTGCGCACAGTATGTCAAATACAAATTGTTGTAAGCGGTACCCTTCACTTTCCATTCCCAAAGAGTAGCAATAGAAGGCTGCTTCGCAAGCTAGCCTAGCAGTTTCCTCATGGTAAAGGCAGCCAGGCCTAAAGAGTGGACTTCTCAACAGATGAAGAAGGACAGTAAATGCATTCACGGAAAGCATTTTCCATCGTCTACTCTCCAGTTTGGCCTTCTTAAAACTGATGAATGTCTCATGAAACTTATACTTGTAACTCCCTGTGTCATCTTTGAGCAGAGAATCCGTTGAAGTATTCAAATCGTGAAGGAAGTCTGTCCCCCCAACACAGTTGATAAATGCATAATGTAACATTCTTATGGCAGAAGGAAAGACTTCTTCAGGTTCGCCTTCACCATCATAACGCTCTTTCAAAGTCTCTTGAACAAGTCGATGGATACTTAAGCTATCATTTGACTTGCGTTTGAAAAGTGAAAACCTAAGCAACAAATCAACAATTTGTTCCGCACCGATTGGCATTTTCAAGCGATCCTTCAGATGCTTATGTTCAATCTCTGGGGCGCCCACATTCAAAATCTCAATGGGTATCTCATCTGGGGACAGATATGTGGCAATTTTCATGAAGAAAGAAGCGGCCTTTCCAAGTCCTTCATCCATTTCGTCATTTTCTATATAACTGAAATTCAGACGCCATGTAGTTTGTACTGCTAGGCGTGCCTCACTGTAGACCTCTGAGCATGGTTTGGCGCTTTTCCTGTTCAAAAGAATCGACTTTTGCTCACGATACTGCTCAAGGTACGACTGAGCCGAGCAGCTTAACGCACTGATGTAAGCAGCAGCTTGTTCTAAGGCCAACGGTAATCCACCAAGCTCCTGGACAAGTTCTTTTACTCCTTGCTCTTGATCTTCACAAGCGATTGATAATCCTACGCGTTTCTTTAGGAATTCAAGAGATTCGCCAACAGAAAAAGCATCCAACTCAAGACAGTTTTTGGGACAAAGATCTAGGTCCTCACACAAAGCTTGAGAACTTCTGCGACTCGTAACAAGAATGTCACCTGACGTTTTGTTTTTCCACTGGCCAAAAAAAAGTTTTCGTGTGTAGGAACTAAGCTTCTTTTGGTCCATGTTGTCTAGAAGCAAAAGCCACTTTTCTCTCAGACTACCAAGCCACGAAAGAGTTTCTGTCATTAACTGATCAAACTGCTTTGCTTCTCCGTGCTTGTTGGGCTGAGAATTGTATACGAATTGTCCATGGATTCCTTGAAGAGATGCACGCAACAGTTCATCACTTTCTCCATTTATAACGTAAACGCCTCCAGAGTAACGTTCCAGGTTGCGCCAAGCATATTCGAAGGCAAGAGATGACTTCCCGCAGCCTCCGAGTCCGCAAATACCATGAACTTTAGCCTTTCTCTTCCCGCTTCCAAGACCAGCTCCTGTATTGTTAACTTCTTCAAAAACTTTTTCCAATGATTCCAACTCTTTTTTCCGGCCTATAAAATACTGATTTCTGTCCAGCGCGCCAAAGAACGATGGAAGGTTGGCACTTTCTTGACGACTCGCTAGTCTGCAACTAAGATCTTCTACCTTTTCTTCCAAGGTGTCCACCTTGTGTTGTACTTGTTCAACTTTTTGGGGAAGTTGTAGCAGCTGTTCGAGGTTTTGCTGCACCTCGCAGAGCTGTGATTTTAACAGGTCGCTCTGTTCTTTGTACTGGCAAACAAAATGATCCAAATTGCAGGAAAGTTGCAACACTTCATTTTGAACCAAGCTTAATAGGGAAGGATCTACTGGAGAGTTCCCACAGAACGTTACGCCTGTAAACAGAACATTTTAACTGGTATTTAGTTTTATATTCTTAAATCTGCCCAATGTTTAAATTATTTGTGTAAGCAATTCTCAGATGACTTCTCGTTTCCAAAGTTATTTCATCAAGCTATTCCTCTTTCTGAAACGCCTTAACGGGCCCTACTTGTTTAACACAGTCATGACAAAACACTGCATACCTCCATTTTTCACATCAATTTCAGACGCTGAATTTCTGGCTTAACTTTTTTGATGCAAATACGTGAAAAATGTTTCAACGTCCGATGAAAACAGTTCGAAATCATATAACCTTTAATTTTTGGCTTAATTACTAACGACTAGTGTCTTTTACCAACAGTGGCAACCGCAAGGCTCAATTTCCGGCCATTTGAGGGGTAAGGTTTGCATCCTTCTCACAAGAAGGCTGGTAGTCGAGCTTAATGAGGACACGAAAAAATTGTCACAAAAAATCCTTTTTAGGCGACGCTAAATTAGACAACTTCTAACAGATAACTAAGAGGGCTACTAGGGTAACGGTTGCAGGGATCGGGCTCGTTTCCAGGCTCCTTGTCTCTTCAAAGAGTAAGAGCAGGGGTGGCGCAGTGGTGAGAGGTAGGTACATTAAGTAGCGTCATTAAAGTGTATCAAGAATGCATTTAAAATGATGTATTAACATGTGGTGAGAGCACTCGCTTCCCAACTATAGACCACTGCAAAAAATACATCATAATCTCAAATTGAAACGACAATTTTGAGAATATTATGGCATTTTTCACAATAGCCTTTCTGGCCCAGGTTCGAATCCAGCTGTAAATGCTGTATGTGGGCTGAGTTTGTTCTTGGTTCTCTCGCTTGCTCCGAGAGGACTCTCTCCGGGCTATCAAGTTTCCCCCTCTCATACAAAACCAACACTTCCAAATTCCACTTCCATCTGGAATGCACAAGGAAAATTTCTACGTGCTCCATGGGTAAACAAATTCCAAATTGCAATCAATAATTTTCTTCTTTTAAAAAAAGCAATGTAAAAGAGGCTTTTTTATGTTTTTATAACAAAGTTGTGACTTTAAGAAAATACTTAAAGATAAAATTAAACTACCTTTGTTCTCCCAGTCATTTAGCTCGGATAGGATTTTACTCTCATCTTCTGTGGGTAGACCCAGGGATTGGACAAGTTGCTGCATCTCCATAAAACAGCACTGAAACTTCACTGCATCCCAGTCTGTAAAGTTACAGTGAGCCCACTCATTTCTTACATGTTCTCTTACTACCTTAGCTGATGACTGTATTGCATGTGCAAACACAGGTACTTCACCAAGTAGTAGAAGAACAGCAGACCCATCACACTCACCATCAAATGCATTGAACTTGGTCATGAAAGGCTGAAGGTAGAGCTTGGCAAAGTCAACATGACTTGTTACCTTAAAGTCAAATTTGGAAAAGTCAAACTTGAAAGGGGAGAGTTTGTGACTGCTGTTACTATTGATGTTTTCATATTTTAGATGTTTGGGATGATTCTTGAGAATCACAGGTGGAGTTTGGCAGTGAATGTTATGGCTGGACTTCAAGCTCTGGTACTCTGCCTGTAAAGACTGTTCTACAAATGGCCGGATATGAGGCACCAACTGGTTGAAGGCAATCCCAATAACCACCCATCGCTTCTGATCTTCTGATATATTCATGGCATCTCCTAAAGAATATCTATTGAAAACAAATGTTTTACATTTTAAGGTCAATGTAAATTCCCTATCTGACAATTTTTTGTATTGATCTCCACTTGATCATCACCCCCTTTGTGTAGCCTGCTACTAACTTTAATAATACAGCCATTTTTCAACCACAATGGCCATCTTTCAACAACAGGATTGATTTCTTTATTTTGCTAAATGTGCTTTTAAAGGAGTGGTCATCAATTACTGGGGGAAGAGGGATGAAAAAATAAAAAAATGAGGGCCCAGAAATGTGACCCTTCCTCAAATTTTTGTCTAAAAACTCTTGACCCTCCCCAAACCATCAGGCCTAAAATTATGACCCCTCCCCCCCCCACCCCACCCGCCCTTGAGACATTTTCCTTTCAATTGATCAATTCTGTCATGGGAATCAATCTCGACACAGTGGTGTTCAATAGTCCTGCTCTAAGGACACCCGCTTAATACAGACACCCTAATTATTAAAAGGACAGTTTCATTTGCCCCGATAATTTAACATTTTTAACACAAACAACTGGATAATACAGACACTATGGCATATCCCTCTGGTGTCTACATTAACTGGATTCCACAGTATCTCTGTTACCATTGTGTCACAATGGGCATTGTCTTTTGCAATCATCTTCATGGTGGAGATCAAAGCAAGTTTTATTAGGCAAAGCAATACAAAGGGGTTGAATGTATTAATGAGCATGTTCTATTAAATAGATTTCCTTTTTTCAATTATTATTGTCCTTTTAAAAGGGAGAAAACATCATTGAAAGATATTTCCTACTCATAATTATAATGAATAGGAAATATCTTTCAATGATGTTTTCTCCCTTTCAAAAGGAAAATAATAATTGAAAAAAGGAAATCTATTTAATAGAACAAGCTCATAAATACATTCAACCCCACAATAACAACATCACAGCCAAAATAACAGAGAACAAAATCAGTATCTTTCCCTTTAAATAGAGGTGAGAGATTCACAGAAGAATCCATCTTGGTCCACCATGGACATCAAAACCCACCACAAGCCAACTGAAACCTTTCAGCACACACACACTTAACTTTTGTCACCCTCCAGGCATTACAGTGCGATTACACAAACCCAGGCCACCCAGTAAAAATTTTGAGACAAATTTTGAAATTAGCCAATCACAAGTCAAGATCTGAACAATGACATTGCGCATAATTGTACTCAGGGCCAGTTCAAAATACATTGCAAACCATATTTCTAAAGGATATAAAAAATAAGGAATCATGATGTTTGTGTAAATCAAGCTGAAAATGTTTTAACAACGTCTGGGTTTGCCAGAATGAAAGCCAGCAGTAAAGAAATTTTGGGCAATCCAAACTAAAGACGATGGCTGCTCATTTCACAGCAAACAGCACTCAGCGAGTGAATCATAGTGTTGCTGATTTGTGAGTGTTATCAACAAAGATATGGGGCTGGTTACAAGTAATGCAAATGGTAGTAATGAAAACGAAGACCCCTAAAACGAAGACCGAAGACCAAAGACCCCCTTGAAAACAAAGATCCCCTCAAAAATGAAGACCCATGTGAAAACCTAATTGATGTGTAAAGTCTTGAAAGAGGGTCTCAATGGGGCTAACCAATTGGCGTAAAATGGCCAAAAATTTAGCCAATAGCTGTAAAAATTGAAAAATTTTAACCATTAGCCGTAAATAGGGTAAAAAAGAGTTAACCGTGAAAGAAAGTGTTTCCTAGATTTGCTACTTTTAAGGAAGATACTAAACTCACTTATGGTTCTGTTTTTTATTCCCCGGATAGTGTGATTCTGTACACACGTTAGGCAAAGCGCCTTAACCAAGACTTAGGCTCCCTTTCCGGCGCTCTCTCAGGGAACTAATTTTTTCCATAGCGAAAGTGTGGCTTCTTGCTGTGGATTAATATCTGCAATTTTCCGGAGGTCGTGCCCTCGAAACACTAATGAAACAACACATAGAGATGTCACTGTTTGTAAAACATGCTGCCGATAAACAACATTTCCCTGTTTTTCTCTGACGCTACGGTAGACATTGCCATGCCTAGTCCCTGTACAGCGTCTTCCCACGCAATCTCGGTCAAGGCATTTCGGTGGTGAACTCGCTCGGACCACGTGACCCGAAACGCATTAGCCGCATGGAATAATGCGGCCTACGGACAAGGCAACGGCAGACAGTCGTTCCGTACATTCCTTCACTATCATTAAAAACACTGGACACGGGAATTTTGTTACTGGCCATTTTCACACTAGAGCTAGAAATGGATCATCCATCTGAGACTAGCCTGTGTAGAGTCGCATCCTCCCCACAGACACCCCTTCTCCGAAATTTTCTGAGTGGAGGGGCCGGCTGTACACAGGCTATCTGGAACGGATAATCCTGTCTTCAAAAGTCAGGCGGATTGTTCATTCAAAATTAAAACTATTCCATTTTCAAATTAAGACGTATTACCTATCTGACCCGAATCATCAAACGGATAACCCATCTTACACGAATAATCCTTTTCTAGTGTGAAAACGGCCATTTCTGTTATAATGAACATCACGCCCCGGCCTTGAGTTGGGTGTTCGCGTGTCTGCTTTTGCTTTTTCACAGAGATTATTTTTAAATTGACTATTGACATTTCTAAGTGTAAAATAATATTAGAAGTGGAATACTTTATAAAAAGCATGATCTATCAAATGTTAAAATTTTTCAAAAGAATAGCTTTTTTCATCCTAAGATGATCCGAAGACCTTTATTAAAAAAAATACAGGTTAATTAATATCTAATTTTTTGAAACAAAAGAAGTTAATTTTTAACTTTTCGTTAACCGTAACTGAAAAAAATTAACCGATAGCCGTAAAAGAGCCAAAATTTTAGCCGATAACCGTAAAGGCCACCACCCCATTGAGACCCTCTTGAAAAGACAATTGACCAGGATCAAATCAAATAAAATAGTTAATAGGTAAGTGAACTTAATAATCTAGCTTACATTAATGATCATACCCTAGATGCAAAATTCCACATTTTATGAAGGATACCGTTTATTTCCTATAATAAGGAATACCCAACAGATACTAGTTTGCTTCGCAGACCCTCTGTTGTTAATGAATTGACTTTAAAATTGGGAGAACTATATAATGACCTAAGTCTCTTCGCGAGTCATTGATATTTCATTCCTTCGAAGACTGTTTATAAAGGTGTAGCTATAGTGCTTTTTTGCTATTGAACGATAGTCAAGCTCAAAGATTATTAATAGCCCCATAGCATTAATTAATGATTTACGGTGTCTGAAGAAATTAACTTTCTTGTGTTTGAAACTTACGCGTTAATTCTAGTAACCGTTCACGGAAAAAAGACCAAAATTAAACGAAATCAATATAAAAGGCCACTATATGCTTGACGATGCTTCCCCGTACGAATTTGATCTGATTTAGAGAAGAATTCCTTTCCAAGTGTCCAAAATGGCGAACCACAATTAGCCTAAAGAAAGCTTAATTTTTCATATTTCTGTGATCAACACTCTGAACAGCAGGCCAGTTTTATCTAAACTACAAATGCAGAAAAACTATCACAGGGAGACTAGCATAAACAGAAGTAACAATAACTTTAACGTACCTCTTAGATTGGAAAAGAGTGATGGTGAAAGTCCTTCGAAAAATGGTGGCGAGAAGACTCCGTATCCCATAAGACTTTACACGTGTCGAAGGTCCAATAATCACGCAATGTCTAGGGTCACGCTATTTTGATTCCGGCATGCATTGTGCTGTGGATTGCAAACCTGCCTTAAATGTACTTATAAAGCTGTAAAGTCCTTTTGTAAATTGTAAATTGTGAATAAATTGTAAATTGCTTTTTCACCCACGAAGCACTTAAGAGTTCATATGAACTCGTTTAAAAGTGTCCGTGCGTTCCAGATCGAATTGGAATTTGGAAGTGTTGGTTTTTGAGGAGAGGGGAAAACCGGAGTACCCGGAGAAAAACCTCTCGGAGCAAGGGAGAGAACCAACAACAAACTCAACCCACATATGGCGTCGATGGCGGGATTTGAACCCGGGCCACATTGGTGGGAAGCGAGCGCTCTCACCATCCTTGCTGCGCTCCCTCGCCCCCGCCCCCCTTTTGATAGACGGTGTATAAACTCCAAATGGAAAAATGTAGGTAAAAATGTCAAATCACAGGGACAAACAAATGCTCTTACCAGTCTTCATTCAGGGGATATCGCTCGTGAGAATTCACGCGTGAGGAGAATGCTCTCAGGTTCACAACTGATTGCGACCAGTCCCGCAAATGAATAAACTAGAAGAAAATGATCTCCGTAAAAAAGCAATTTATTTATCTGTTTATTTATTAGAAAAGAAAGATTTTTTTTTCAAACTCAATTTCTACGTTTAAAAGATTACGTTGTAAAGACTCGCTGAAGAGAACCTTCGGTGAACATGTATTCAAAGAAAAAAAAATAAAAAGAAAGAAAGAAATATCGTAAACTAAATTATCCATATCTTCAAGGCAGTCGCATCTTCTTTCACGTGCGGCTGTCGCTTGACTATTAGCAACTCCAACAAATGGAGAGCTTCAATTCCCCTTCCCCCATGCACAGTGTTGGGTGTTAGGTCTGTTAGAAGTCAAACACTTGTACACATCGACCTCAACTAAAAACTTTGAACAGGGGGAAACCTTGGTAAGGCGGTGTTTAGTTATGAATATGTATCACTGCCTACACGTAAATTCCAATAAAAAACTGACGAGAAAAAGAGAAAAATGTGTCAAAACCCTTTGGCCATGATTTTAGTTGTCTCGTGTTATTGAAAATACGTTCACGTACCCAAAACAGCTCGCTGTTTCAATTAAAATAAAGAGAACGGACTGGAAAAAATCAGTGTTACTTTATATTTTGTGAAACAGCTGAATAAAGGCCAGGGAACAGTACCCACCCTGAACTCAGTTCTAAGAGATGCCGGGTATTTTACAATCATTCTTGGAAGCTACTTAACGTCAAAAGATGTCTCTCTTCGTAACCACTTCACTTTATTGTAACGTATGGTTTGAAAACCTACTTGCCCTTATGATACCACTATCCATTTAATTCTTTAAATAAAATGCAGTTAAAGTTTCTGAACTTCCGTCTGATTTTAAACATACACAGAAAAACGATCCCGAGTCTGATAAAACAGTTGACGATAACAATCATCTTTACAGACAAGTACTAAGGACTGGAGCTTTTTACCCAAAGTAGCAATCGCGTGATGTCACAAAATGTCAACTTTTTACATAAGATACTTTTAAGAGCAAGATATTTTTTCCACAATGTTTGAGAGAGTAATGTCTCGAAGCTGAAGGGAGAGGGCGTTCGAAAACGAGTTTCTCCGCCAATTACAATGGGATCTTTATTTGATGTCGCTGCAGTGTCTTTGCTGTTGATAAAAGAATGGTCCAAATTTGCCTCCGAGGCAGAGGATAGAGATCTCATTGGGTCATAATGAGGTGGGTGCATGAGATTCAGTCTCTTTTATCCCTCTTGAAAGCCCACATACATCTACATTTACATCTACATCAAGATGCAAGATGCCGAAGGGGAAATGTCGAGAGTTTCAAAGAAAAGGAACAAAATAATAAATAAATATGTAATCAATCAAAAACACACAGTTAAAAGTGAGAGAATCAGTCAGATTAAGTAAAAATGCATTTGCAGCAAGCTTAAAATTGTCGGTAGAATCAACATGTACAGAGAGTTTTCTACGAGGCTAAGTTCAAACTTAGTCTAACTATCTGGAATACCTTAGTTGAAGTTTTAAAGAGGGTGCTTTCACTTGTCACCACGCATAATTTCTGCACATCAGGGAAGAGGGTTAGGAGGAATGCGTGGTTAACGTGAAGAATTTGTTTGTTCTAACGGCGATGTCTCTGATGTGCAAACCGTGTTCTGTTTTTAAAATCCGTTGAGTTGTATTCTCTCTGGCTCATACACGAGCCACGATCTTTCACGTGCAAGCTACGTGACACTACAACTCACAGTACGGGCCTGATCACATGAGCCAGGGAAGCTGTAAGCGTGAACAGTTACCTGCAGTCCTGTTTCTCGCTTGGCTCATTTGCCAGGCCGCCTGGCAAGCGTGATTACCTTATTCGTACTTAAGGTGGCTCGATACACTTTTTCAGGGTCAATACCTCCCAAGTTTGAGCGTAAACTACGTCGCCATAAACAAAGATTTGGAAAAATTAACACCACAGTTGTATTAGATAAAGATGAAAATTTGTTATGATCAGGGTTAGAATGACATCGGAGTTGTCGTAGCAACGAAATGACGCCATTACCTATTTTACTTCCAGCAGTATTTCTCGGCACTGGGAACTGTTCTTCCCAAATCGTTTACTGGAGCTTTTACCTACGATAGCTGCCTCGATGTTCGTGAAGTTTAAGCGAAATCTGTAAGAGCGTTATCGAGATATTTTGGGATGAAGTTTTTCTGGTTAGAAATAAGGTAAAAAATTGACAATCGTGATGTTCGACTGTTATCTGTACTAAACGAAGCACTTTTGACATGTAATTTCACCTCATTGTAGTTTCAATCTTTTTAAAAACGTGTGTGAAAGATCATGGAGATACCTCCAGCCGATTGCTAGAAAGAAGGATTGGATTAGTACGTATCGGGGCGCTCTTGTTATCCGTAATGTAAACATTTCGGTCTACTTTAACAAATTAGCCAATAATTTTTAAACCGCTCGATAAATTTTCTAAAAAATTTAAGAGTGTTGAGATAAACCGTCCTTTTATTTGACCTCTTAGTTTCAAGATCATTGATATATTTTAAGATAGTAAAATAAGGGCTACAATTTGTTAATATTTTGTCAGAAATTTTGTCTTTACAAGTGAGAGCTTTTATTATTCAGGGGTATTGTCTCAAAGTTTCATTTTCACGCGAACAGCAGTAACTAACAATGCAGTTGACATATGCAAAACTGCTAGCTATTGTTATGCACGAAAATATGAAACTTGGAGACAATACCCCTGAATAATGAGAGGCTCTCACTTGTAAACACAAAATTTCTGACAAAATGTTAGCGAATTCAAGCCCTTATTTTACTGCCTTACAATACATCAATAATCTTGAAACTAAGACGTCATATAAAAGGAGGGTTAATCTCAAGAGTCTTAAATTTTCTAAAAAATTTATCGAGCGGTTTAAAAATTATTCGCTAATTTGTTAAAGTAGACCGAAATGTTTACATTACCGCTAAAAAGAGTGCCTTGATACATACTAACAAATCCTCCTTTCTAGCAATCGGCTGGAGGTATCTCCATGATCTTTCACACATGTTTTTAAAAAGATTGAAACTACCATGAGGTGAAATTGCATGTCAAAAGCGCTTCGTTTAGTACAGATAACAGTCGAACATCAAGATTGTCAATTTTTTACCGTATTTCTAACCAGAAAAACTTCATCCCAAAATATCTCGATAACGCTCTTACAGATTTCGCTTAAACTTCACGAACATCGAGGCAGCTATCGTAGGTAAAAGCTCCAGTAAACGATTTTGGAAGAACAGTTCCCAGTGCCGAGAAATACTGCTGGAAGTAAAATAGGTAATGGCGTCATTTCGTTGCTATGACAACTCCGATGTCATTGCTACCCTGATCATAACCAATTTTCTTCTTTATCTAATACAACTGTCGTGTCAATTTTTCCAAATCCTTGTTTATGGCGACGCAGTTTACGCTCAAACTTGGGAGGTATTGACCTTGAAAAACTATATCGAGCCACCTTAATTTCGCGCGTCTTTAATTTCGCGATTTTCGCGATTGTAAAAAAATCGCGAAATTAAAGCCTCGCGAAATTTACACACGCGAAATTAAATACCATGGAAAGAAATTTGAATCACAAAAGATCAACAACGACATGTACAGCATATGTATCGACATAAATAATAAATTATTCCGTGGTAAGCTCCATTTTGCATCTTGTCAAGTGTGATCAATAAAGGTAATTTGCAAAGATTTCACATAAATATATCGAGCAGAAAATCTAACTACTCATCTTCATCTGAAGATGATTTGACTGTTAATAGAGAAGAAAAAAAGTTTATGAAAGACCAATTCACGTCTTGGTACTTGGCACAAGTTCAAAAGTCAACTAGATTCAGGGGTGGTCTTCGATGATATTGATGTTGACCTGCGACTTTCCGTTCTCAAACCAATTCAAAACATGTCAAGTAAGCCTTTTTGATTGGTTTACTCGAGGTCAATCATGTGCAAAAATAAGCCTAACCCACAAAAAGACTCCAATGTATTCAACATAGTTTTCGCCGTTCCGTCTCGTTTACCGCTTTCGCGACCGCTAACACAGTCAACATGGATATTCAAACCTTGTTAAACAACCTTCATGAAGAGGTGTCATGTTCTGTGTGTATGTCCAAGTCCGGGGTCCAAGTACACCGATCCAAAACAGTTGCCGTGCTTGCATAGTTTCTGCCTTCATTGTCTGAATAGGATTCAACGAACGAGTGGCAGACGAGATAAAATTCCGTGCCCGGAGTGCAGACAGGAATTCAAGATCCCTGATAATGGAAACCTAGCAGCTTTGCCAACAAACTTTCGTATTAACAGCTTGCTCGACGTATTAGCTATTAAAGAGTGCAACACGACCGGAGTTAAGTGTGGAAATTGCGACAAACGTAGCAAAGAAAGCCATTATTGTTTCCAGTGTTGTGCGTTCTGGTGCGGAGAGTGCATCACTTTCCACAATGGGATGAAAGCCAATAAAGATCACTATGCACTGGCGTTGGGCTTACTGTAGTTTGCGAAACGAAATGAAACGAAACGAAATGGAACGAAACGAAATGAAAATCTGTAGTTTGCGAAATGAAAATCTGTAGTTTGCGAAATGAGAATTTGTAGTTTGCGAAATGAAAATCTGTAGTTTGCGAAATGACAGTCTGTAGTTTACGAAATGACAATTTACTTTCTCGTTGCGTCTACTCGGATATTCTAAACAGAAAATTCCCCCCAAAAAGCTGTTTCGCCCAGAAAAATTTAGGCGCTCAAGTTAAGCCCTGTCGGTCGGGGTAACGAAAGGGATGGGTGACCCACCGCGAATATCGTCTTAAAGGTCCATACGTTGTTCTTTCTTTTCTTCTTCTTCTTTTTTGCGTTTTATGTGGTGTTATTGTTAACAGTGTATTGAAAAGCAGGTTTAGCATTATTTCTGCGTCCGGATTTAGAAAAAGAAAAAAACAAAGAACAAATATGGCCTGGTGCAGTTCGCCCGAAAATTATTATTCTTCGGGCCGTAATACAGAGCTGGAACTTTGCAGACTTTGATCTATATTATTATATCGGCGGGGAAACCAGCAAACTAAGAAATCTGGGTTTTCGACAGTGTAAAACGATCATAATGCCTCTAATTCCAATCTCCTATTCCTCTGTCTCTTGTTGTCGGCGTTGCCTTCGCTGTGCTAAGCGATGTTCCTTCTGCATCCGCGGTTTCTTGTTGACGTCTTCTCCTTCGTTCTCCAGAGGATTTTCATTTCGCAAACTACAGATTTCCATTTCGTTTCGCTCCATTTCGTTTCGCAAACTACAGTAAGCCCTGGCGTTGGAAGACTTTCAAGATCATGACTTTGAGAACATTTTAAAGCGGCCAACATTTTGTGCGATACAAGGCCACGAGAAAAAGGAAATAGAATTCTTCTGCAATATCTGCGAAGTCGCAATCTGCAACGCTTGTGCGTTGACGAATCATGATGGGCACGAAAAGATTCTTCTGGAACAAGCTGCAAATGAGCGAAAGTTAAGAGTTAAATCTGCAATTGAATCTCAGAGAGAAAGAGCTCAAACAAAGAGAAGCAAAATCACCAAACTTGACGAAAGCCTTAGTGAAGTTCAAGAACAAGCCGCTCGTGTGAAGAGAAACGTACAAGAGTTTGCCGACAGCATCATCAGCATCATTGCAACCATTGAAGCAAAGAAGCAGGAGATCTTTGACGATGTGGAACGAAGAACAAAAGCGTCTGTTCAAAAAATTGGAAAGCAAAAGGAGGATATTGAAGAACAAGCAAAAAGGCATGAATCAGAAATAGAAAACACTGAAACACTTTTAAAGCGAAGCACAAGCGCCCAAGTCATGCAGCCGAACGAGCTCATGGACAAAATATTAAAGGAAGAAAATTACCAAGAAGAAAGTGACCGTGATGACGGTCTTTACCAAGAATTATTTTTTGTGAAGAATCACAAGTTATTTGATCTCGTAAGCCTTGAACAGATTGGTTCCCTGAAAGAAAGTCAGGCAAGAGGGCAACAATCGAGTGCTGATGGGAAAGGAATCAGTGAGGCAATTGTTGGACTTGAAGCACAGCTTGTTGTGACAACAAGAAACAAGAAATGCCAACAGTGTTATGATAATAATGACTGTGTCACACTGGAAGTTAGAAATCATGAAGGCGATAACTGCGCAGCTGAAGTGCAAGTCCAAGATAACAAAGATGGTAGTTACAAAATGAAATACTTTGCCAAAGAAACAGGAACATGCAGTGCATCAGTTAAGGTTAATGGAGAACATATCCGTGGCAGCCCTTTTGAGGTTCAAGTCAAACCCAGACAGTTCAGACCTGTGTTATCTTTTGGAGAACAAATATTGAAGCTTCCTTGGGGGGGAGCAGTAAATGAACAAGATGAAATTGCAGTGAGTGACGTGGGTAACCATAAGATTCACTTATTCAAGAGCGATGGAACACATAGTAGATCTTTGGGTGGAAAGGGTGCTCAGCACAGTGAGTTTGATTGGCCTTCCGGAATAGCGTATCATGGTGACAATATTATTGTAGCTGAACAGCTTAACCACAGAGTTCAAGTGCTAAGTAGACAGGGGGATACCTTCGCCACTTTGGGGGACAAGGAAGTCTTGATCACCAGCTTAACTATCCTTTTGGTTTATCTATTGACAGTGATGGCAATATCATTGTAGCTGATGGGAAAAACAAATTAATTAAGATATTTTCCGTTGATGGGCAGTTTTTACAAAAACTTGGCACGGAGGGCACTTTCACTAAACCCTTTCACTGTATCCAACATGAAAACTATCTAATAGTATCAGACAACAGTGATAATTCTGTAAAATGCTTTGATAGGAAGGACATCCTCCTTTATAAATTTGGAAAGAAGGGAGATGGGGCTGGAGAGTTCAACTCACCTCACTGCCTGTCCGTGCACAAGGGAGGACACCTGATGGTTTGTGATGGAGGAAATCACTGGATTCAGGTGTTTGATTTGGCTGGAAAGTTTGTTGCTAAGTTTGGAACAAAAGGAAGTGGGATGGGAGAGTTTAAAACACCGGTCTCAGCAGCAGTTCTTAGTGATGGTAAAATAGTTGTGTCTGACCTCAACAACAGTCGTATTCAGATTTTTGAATAAATGCTGTAAAGTTTCAACAACAAAACAACGCTGTATTTGGCCCTTTCTTCCTTTACATTTTTTTCACATCAATGGTCCTGTTTTACATGTGTATGTTGAATCAATATTTGTTTACAATGCTTTTGCTGAAAACTTATTTGAGAACAAAGAAGGAGGAGAATTAGAAAAACAATATTTTTGCTATAATGAGCTGTTTCCCTGAGTATATTAACTTTGACTATTATTAGGTGATAAATGATAACATAGCCTTAATTCAAGGTTAATCCAGCATAAGATACAATTCAGCATGTTGTTGTTGCCTGCACAGGATAGAAATGAACTAAAATAAAATTGTTGTTTGCTTGTTTATTTAATTTGACACAAAACCTCAGACTAGAATAACTGTTCCTGTGAGATTAAACTCAAAGACCGTCATGCTACACAACTGAACACTCATTTTCAAGGTAATGCCTTTTTTTACATCATGCAAGAAAAACACATCAAGGTTGGGTAGAGTTACATTGTGCATGTACGATGTATGAAACTTCCTGAATTGTTTAAAGGGAATAAGAAGACCTTAAAGTTCTAGTGACATCCTCATTAAAAACCTTCATAAAAATAATATTTCATACAGATATTTACAGTGCCCTCTACGAGGAAATCACCAGGTAATCAGGGGTCAATTAACTAAAACCAGAAACATGAGTTTCTGCTAAAATTTTACAAGAGTCACTCAGAAGTGTAGCCATTGATTAAAAGTCTGAAAACAACAGGTACCCTTGTAAATTACACTTGTAAGAGTTTTACTTAATTGACCCCAGGCCTGGGCAAAAGTTTAGAGACTACTGTGTGATGAGGTACATTAATCTATCTGGGCAATCTGAATCCGCACTAAGCAAAATGATAAGTGGGTTCATATGTCCGGACAACAATCCGTGAGAAGGTACATCTAGTAAAGTAATCAGCGCTGAGCAAAAGGATTAAGAGGGTTTGCAGAGGGGATGTTTCTGGGCAGTGGAGGTGCAAGGCCAGGTGGCAAACTCTGTTGACTAGCTCCACCTCTCTTCTGTTGCTGCTGTTGAATTTGATTGGGTGTCAGTCGGAAATGGAACTGCAGGAAAAACTGAAAGCAAGAAAACAGAAAGCCTTTTATTGAGTTGTTCAGTGCACAAAAATTATCGTCCAAAGCAACTGACGATCATATGATCCTGCATTTCTGTTTTATTTGCTCACGACAAATGCATCAGTCAATTCCAGCTGTGCCCAGGTCCCCCCCCCCTCCCCGGGCTACTGCGGGGCATTTGCCCACCTTGTGAGTCCCGGGGGTGGGGCATTTGCAAAATTTTGCGCTGCCCGGGGGTCAGGCATTTGCCAACCCAGGGCCAACCCCAAGTGTTTGACAGGCGCACAGTTTCCTATCAGAATATAACTACACAGAGCATTTTACTGGAAAAACAAGCAGATTGGCTCATTTGTCAAGGATGGGAAAAAATTGAAGAGGTTTGTAAAGGCATGTTCTTGATTTTATGCATGCACTTCTTCATTGCTTATCAAGCCAGAATAGTGAAACTCGGGAGCTATCAATGTGAATCAATATTTTCTGGTTTTTGAATCAAGTTTCTCTTGATATTATTTGAAGAACATCCTTTCATAAAACTATTCATAGCAGCTATAACTTTACAGTGCACTATTAATTTTAATGTCAATAATTTTATAACAATACTAAAACCATAAACTGGTATTGTCATGGCGTGAAGTCTCAATTAGAATAGCGCTATTGCAAAGGAAGACGTTAATTGAAACAAAAAATCACACATTAAAATGCTTAAAATGGCACTACTCGACTGTGTGATCAATGAAAAATGTTGCAGTGTTGACAGAGGATGGGGCATTTGCCCTCTTTTTTTGTCCCCACCCCAGGGATTTGACAGCTCAAGAGTCCCCACCCCTGGGAATTTGCCATCCAAGGCAAAAAAAATGCTATGGGGGGGGGAGGGGGCTGGGTGCAGCTGGAATTGACTGATGCATAAACCATCCATGGGTACAACAAATACCAGCTGTTTACTTTAAAGGATGGGGCTAGAAAGATAAAATCTCTGGGTTAAGGGAGAGTCTAAGAGGGCATTGAAGGCTTCATTTCAAGAAGTGGAACAGCTGTTGACGGGTCATGGCGGATCAAATCCAACAGGGTCCAAGGTCAAGGCTTTGAGTTGTCAAAAACATTTGTTTATCATTCAACATACCCATAGACCAAAATTACACGAAACAATCAGCAAATTAAAAACCAAAACAAACTTGAATTCACCCATCATTACAGTGAATTATGGCCCATTAAATTGACCAATCAAATTGCATGTACTCATTTAGAGATACAATAACAGAATTTGCTGACCTGTTTTGTGTCTTTATTCCAGTGAGTCCACAGTCGCCCTTCATCTTTGTCAATTTCCCTACTTGGAATCTACAGCAAGAATTGTTTCTTATTAACTTAAAGGTGTTTGAAAACAAAACATGGACATTTTTTCAAACTGCTGACTGTTTGATTCAATTTACATATCAACGCTACAGTCGGCTCTCTTTAAGGCCGGACACCTCTGGGAACAGCACTTAGTGTCCATCTCAAAAAGGGGCCTGCTGCCTTCCACAGGAATGAATTGTTGTTTTTTACATGATGTCGCTAAAATTCAAACAACAAAACTATCTGTCCTACTGAGATTTTCTTTCATGATGTACAGGGGCAGCTCAAAAATAATTTCCATACAAATTTTCACTTCAAAAGGCTCCTTGGTTTTGAGTATTCTTGAATGTCTAAGCATTTACATCGCAGCTCAGAGAGCTGTCATGAAGGTTAAAAAAGAAGCTTACTGTAATTTTGCTTATCTAAACAGTTCATGCATTAGAAAAAGTATTACCTTAATGTTTATGAATTACTTGAGAAATATAATCATGCTTTTGTAGCAAAACTCAGCAACAGATGTTTCTGTTTCTTCAGCATGGTGTCTCCATACAAATCTCTATAAATTTGGGTAAAACATTTCTTTGGGTATTTCTATACGAAATATTCCTCAGACCTGAATCTTGGCAAGAGTCTTTGCATAGTTACATACTTACATTTCCCAGACTTTTGACTTAATCTATTGAAAGATTTTGATTTTAATTTTGATCTACGGTATTTTGAATGGCGTGACACTGAAAACCAGCAATACAGCAAATGCTTCGTAAACTATTTTCAATGAACATACCTTGAAGGCTATAGTTTCATAAGGCTCAGCTGCAAAAAGAAGATACTGCCATGATTTGTCTGGTGGTTCAATCCGCTGTTCATAAGCTGACATGAAGCGATGCCTTGGAGTGATGCTTTCTGCTATCTCTGGATAATCCACCTACACATACAGAGGAATGAATCACTTTTGAGCATTCTGAAGCAGGTTAAAATACAATAACAGTCCCCTAATGGGTCTTCTTTGGCATTGATCCATAGTGAGCGGGGGACGGGGGGTACTCCTGGGAATTCTTGGTGGGTGTGATGTGCCACATGGTTCTCCCAATCCTGACCCTATAATTAAAAATGACCAAAAAATGTCATTTTCCACACCTGTTTTCAGACCAGACCCATAAAATCCATACCGTTTCTTAACTGATTTCTTGAGTGTAATTAATTGCTCACTTTGAATAAATGTAATGATATTTGCTAAACAAGTACAATGTTGGTATAAACCTAGTACCTGGAATAAAAGGCTGTGCTGTCCAGTGTCTGGGTCCCTTTGTTTTGTTACTGTATTCATGTGATAGAAAGACAAAAATGTTACAATGTATTTCATTAATATTATATAAGCAGAAGTACTGCTCTGGACTTAAAATCCATTGCATGTAATGCTACAGGACAATTGCACATTGACATTATTTTACTACAACTACATGCTCCAGAATCCTTCAGTTTGTTGTTTGCTTGTACAAATAAATTATTAGGGCTATTGTTTATTAAACCCTAGTAGAATAGACAAATTTAAATAAGAAGGCAAAGACAAAATGAATTTTGGCAGTTGTAGTCAAACATCGTCATCATGGCCTATTGTGGCAATTTATGTAGAATACTGTCAGTTGTGTGGATTAGTTGTCATTTTACTGCACACAATATGGTGGGCCAAATTAGATAGACCTTTGACAGCTACAATCAAGTGACCAGCTTAATGCAACAATATTTTGAGATAAAATTTCAACAATACCAAAGATGGAAAGAGCACACAAGGAAATTTGGTACATGTAGAAAGTGATCACAAGGTGACTAAGATTTTATGGATGTTGGAATGAAAGAGTTTTATGGAAAAAATGCAATAACGCAAGGATTGTGGTCCAGTGACTTTTTCCATTGCTACCTATGATATTTTTTCTCTGAAATCAACAAAATAGCACTGTCAAGACTTTGCAAAATATTTTTGTCTTTGCTATTTTAAGGTAATGATTCACATAGATACAAGTACAGTGTTGGTCACACCATCTAGCAACAGCTGCAAAGAGTAAATAACAACTCTGTATAAGTCATACAAGACCAAAAATTCATGGTCAAAATTCAGGCTAATTTAGTTTCATTTTACTTCTCTTCTTAAACATACCAAATAACATGTTTACATCATAGTAGAATTATTATTTTTTTCAGAGAAAAAAAAAACAAGTACCAGTGTATTCTATATACATCTACATATGTTATTAGCAAGTAAATATTATGACATGAAGGAAGGAAATGAAAAAAATGATAAGGTTTTTTGTTACCTTTATAACCTGGACGGCCTATCTTGACAAACTTTTTAACAGATACCCTTGGTTTTTCCTGTAAAAGCAAGCAAAGCAATTACAGTGTTTACTTGTACATACTGCTTTAACACATAACAGTATTTATCCTCTTCTTTTGTTTTATTTTATTCACAGTTCACTTTTCATAGAACAGAGGCACATAAAATATTACGGCTGAAAGAATGAAAGATGGTAAATTTTAAGCTCGGTGAAACCAATGTGATCAGCATGTCACGAGCGTGGGACAAACAGGATTCCAACCCATAACCTCCCAAACACTGGGCGGGCGCTCTATCCACTTTGAGCCACGGAGAACTCATGGAGAGCAAGGCCATAGACTAGGTTTATATTTGACAAGCATCTGTGACATGCTGATCAGAAATACAGCTTTACAACAGTACTGCTTCATTATTTAACTTGAAAAAATACAAACTACTGTACTCACTGGTGCTGGCTGAGCTGGGGCTTCTTTTGCTTCTTTAGCAGCACGACGAGCACTGAAAATAATTATATTTAGTTATTTCTTAGCCTACAAGCAGGTTCAATTGTTCAAGTTTGGGAAAAATGTTTGGCACCTCGATGTACATGTATGCCACCAATGGGCCAAGGAAAAATGAGCCTGTACGCGAGCTATTGATTTTTCAATACCCCACATTCACTGATGAACACAGCGATCTATTTGGTTAAAAACGACGGGCAACGATAGGCCACTTAATTGCCACAAAAACCAACGATATGTGACACAAACATTCACACTTCAAACTTAATGATAAAAAACATCAGTAGGAAACACAAGTGAGCCTGCTCGCAGGCTTGTTATTTCTAGTCACAGAAACTGTTTTGGAGTCATTTTAAGATACAAGTATTGTTTGGAAGGGTTTGTGGAATAAGCACTTCACAAGAATGATAAAAGGTAATTTAAAATAAGAATCTTGTTTAGTGATGATCACTTTAACTTTTTTGAAACACAAATTAAGTTTAAGTGAATCCCTCAAAGATAAGGATTGCTTAGAGTAGCTGTAAGTAAAGTGCTGGACTGCCAAGGGGATGGGATGTCATGGGTTTGAGCCCTGGGCCGGACCAAAACTCAGGGTCTCAAACTAGGTGACGAAGGTACATACATGTACAAATTTTTTGCTATTGCTTTGTGAATACATTGTAGCTAGACATTTGTGTGGCTCAAATAAACAAGTAGGAATGGCATTGTGCAGGCATGTGTGGCTGAGTGGTTAACACCTCGAACTCCGGATCTGGAGGTCCGGGGTTCAAGCCTCGCCCATCACGTTGTTTCCTTAGACAAGGAACTTTACTCCACTTTGTCTCTCTTCAACCAGGTGTATAAATGGGTACCAGTGACATACTGCTGGGGGGTAACCCTGCGATGGACTAGCATCCCGTCCAGGGGGGAGTAACAATACTCCTAGGTGCTTCATACTAATGAAACTGGGATAAGCTCCGACCATTTCTGCCTTTGGCTCGTGCTCGCCTTTACCTTAATGGCATTAACATCTCCAGTAGGAGACTTACAAAACAGTGTCCTTCAAGCACTCTAAGGGACAATGGGATGACACTCAACAAGGGAGAGCTGTCTAATACTCCAATGAATTTATGCATGGCATTGTATTGTATTGTATTGTATTCACATTACAGTACTGTACAAAAGCATAATGGTAAAGAAAGAAGCAAAACAATGAGAAATTTAACAATACCATGAATAAATTTGTTAGAGTATTGGACAAGTATGCTTTTATGGGACAGGGAAATACTTCAGTCCTTTCTAAGGACAAGGTTTCATGGTGATCATTACTACCATACAAATTACCATCCTTTTTACAGTGACCAGAGTAATAATATGAAAACCAGCAAGAGATCATATCACATCTTAATCCAGGAACAGGTACAAACAGTGGAACCCAAATATAGTGTGTGTTCTGGTGCTTACAGGTTAGACTGATGCTTTTTTCCTTGAGTATGAGCAAGATAGCTTCCCTACAATAATAAAAAGACAATAATAATTAAAAGCAAAGCTCAAAAATAATGATAACACAACGAAATGAGAGGACTGAAAATACAGTAGGACTGTGAGCTATTAGTGTCTCATGGTTACTGTCAACTGACTTCTGTCTCAAGGCACAACACATAAATTGGGGTGAACTTCACAGGTTCATCTGCTTTACAGATTGTTATTCAGGCAAGCTATAGCTTGCATTTACTAGATAAGCAATGATTACATTTCTCCTATATTTGAATTCCCCAAACAACTTCACTTGCCTCTCGGGCAAGTTGGCTTGCCCGACAGCCTCAACTTCCTAAACTCCTCATGCCCTGGGCTATTGGACACTTATAAATTCTTTTCATACTGTTCATGATTATTGCACTGCATCTCTTAGACACCCAGTCCACAAGAACAGAAAGATTAGATCATCCAATAAATATATGAAACTACCAAAATGAACTTTCCTTCTCTAGGGAGCAGTAAGTTTCCACTCAGCCTCATGCATTGATTATGCATACATGTTCTCACTCTATTCATATCCACTGTTTGTGTGAAATAGTATGAGATTGTTGCATACATAATTATTGCATTTTTAAAAAGGGCTGTACAGAAATCATGCCCAGAAAGCAGTTAAGCATCTATTGACAGCCACTCAACTTACCTCGTTATTGTGCAGTGTGAGACACAATTTGCATTCATAGGAACCAAGATGGTTCTTCATAAAATATGGATCCTAAAAACAAGAAACAACAAGGACATGCAAAATATCATTACAGTGTTTATTACTATTATTGAGTACCCAGTACATCGAATAGTGGCTTCCTCTTGATAACAGGCAATGAAGAAAAGACTTTTGTCCTAAACCCCTGCGTAGCTGGAGGAACTCTTCACCACTACTTCAAAGAGAGCGCTACACGTGCAAAACAACAACTTCTTATTTTACCTTGTTGAGGTCTATTGTTTCTAACGCAAGCTGTCTAAGACGCTCTCGTCGGTCTCTGTTAGATTCTGACCATGAGGCAACGCCACCGGAGCCTGTCTTGCCGCCTGCTCTGTTTTGAAAATCCATCTTGAACTGACAAATACACAGAAATTAGAAAAGAAATATGGCGACGAAGAAAAGACGCGCACTTGGAGGAAGACTAGGAATTAGTCATCACCAGTCTTTTTAAACTCGCCTTAAAGACGAGGCTACTAATTTTGGCGGGCGCATAAGAAAATTTCAGCGGCATTTTCAGGGAGCATGCGTAGTGACCATGACAACTTGGAAAAGATTATATTCTGCGAACTTCTACTATACTGGAACATGTCTATGTCTGGATTGATAGGGTAGCTAACGAAGTTTGTATGCAAACGTCAGTTTAGATGGAAGAGCTCAGCGATGACGATGTGAAAGAGTTTGCTTCAGACTGGGTTAGAAGACTCCAAAATTCTGTTTTGGCTGCAGACAATGATGTCAGTAACCCCGGTGTCGTCAGGTCTGGTTTCGGTTCAGATGACGAGCGAATATTCCCTAAAGACGAATTTCGTGAAGAAATTGATGAAGTCGATCGTTCAACCTTCCGCTGGAGACCTTCTTTTGCTGTAGATCTCAGAAATTCAGTTGCAGACAAACACTTGCCCGGCCGAGGAGAAGGTGACGAAGGGCAAGTCCTGTCGTTCGAATGTTCGTCAAAACACTCGAACGTCGATCAAGACCATCAAAGATTTGGTGGAAAAAGCACTCCAAGACCGGATTCTGAGTTCTTACGCCAGAAGCGCTTGGCTTTTTTCAGCAATAGTCTAGAGTTGGACGAAACGAAAAAGTTGAACGTACTTCGTGATGAGAATCGCAACACACCTAAACAGTTTCCGGCGAGCCTTTCCTTAACGTGTGGTCACGAAACTCACAGCTCGCGCTCCAAACACTTCGACTCTTATCCATTAAAAGGAATGAGTCATGCAAAGCAGGAGATATCAAATAAAATGCATCAGTTAGATTCATTTGAAACGCCTTTCTTAAACGGTTTTAGCAGCGGTATTTCCCAAAGTGCGAACACAGATAGCGTGCATCTGTATCAGAATATGTCCCCTCGGCGATTTTACTCTGATGAAGAAGAGATCAGGTTGGAGCTATGGGGATTAAAAGAGGCTGTGCATTCTGGGGAGCTTGATTTAAATGCATATCTTCACAAACCATTATGGAAAGATCAATTCTTCCCTGCATCTTCAGGCCAGCTTGTCAACAGCTATGAACAAAACCATTGTAAACAACAATTTGTCAAGAGTCCTCCAGAAGGTACGTACAGTTCCTTGCATATTGAAAGAACACTTAATGGTAAAGCAAGTATTAATTGTACAGAGTTTAATGGCCCAGAACCCCAGATTAATGGACCACTTTATTCTGGTTTTGAAAATTCTGATTCTGAGACTAGCTTGTTGAGTTTTGGTTCAAAGTGTGATGATGTTCATTACAGAAAAGTTATAAAGAAGCAAGAGTCTTCTGTTACTAATGGGAAAATGAGTACAAGAGTGAAAGATCCCATAGGCAAGAAGCAAGATCATAAAATGAAGCAAAAACGAGGCAAAGATAAAATTCTCATGGAACTGACTGAGTTTATAGAAGGTTGTGGGAATCCAAAAGATATAGAACATTCCAAGCAAAATGGGAGTATTATAAATAGCAGGCATTCTCAAGATGTGCCATCCAAAATCACTAAAGACAATCGTGAAGCAGTTTCAATGGATCATATACAGAATGAAGATGTCAGAGGAGGTGATTTCATTAGTGGAATTAAAAATCCATTGGACAAGGCTTGTATTAGTAACAGCAACACTGCATTGTCATATAATCATACGCATCCAAATGACACTCTTGTAGTACCTGCAGAGGAATCTGGAAATGTCATGGGAAAGGTTTGCCCAAAATGCGATGAAGTCAACAGCAAGGCTGCGAACTGGTGCATTGAATGTGGTACTGCACTCATTTGTGTAAAAGCAACTTGCTTGACTCCTCAACAGCGAAAAGTTTTTGAGAAACAATGTGAAGAAACTCAGGCATTAATCAAGGAAACACTGAATAAACCAATGAATTTTTCACATCTGTTGGGTTATGATAAAGCTGAACAGGAGGAAAGGTCATTAAGTAATGACATTTCAAACCTTTCTTTACAAGTTTCACAAAGTACGAGTAATTTAGAGGGCATGAGGTACTCCTCAAGTTCTCCTGAATATAAACGGCGCTGGATGCGATCAAGTACCGCTTGGAGCACCTACCATCCTTGTGAACTTACAAAGAGTCGTTCTTTTGTCAAAGATCAAACCAAAACTAAACAGAGACAGAGAGCAACATCTTTTTCAGATCTGACTAGTTCTGCAAAAGAGAAGGGTAGTAAGCATCAGAAAAGAAGCGGTCGCAACAAGTCTCGGAAAAGGACCATCAGTTACAGTGGTGCTGAGAAGGATGCAATGAATAGCTCCGATGGATTTACAAATTTAAAATCATTTGGTCAAAATAGGAATTATTCTTCTATGAATACCACTCGAAATGAGAAACAAAACCAGTCTTCAGTTATACAAAGAGCAAGTCTGCCCATTGAGAATATGCCTGAAAATAATATATCAGCTGAAGGACTTCACGGTGAAAATGTACCTAATGGGATGGTTCATTCAAAAGGTTATCCAAGTCAGTGCATGATAAAGGTATGCAGCCATTCCATCCATTTCTGAGTCTGAACATTAACGGGGCTGTCAGTAAGGGCCAAAAGTTGGGGATTTCCCCCAACTATTGTGAACATGACTCCCACCTACTATTGTAAGAAAAATAGAACCCAACAAATTTCCTAGCTGTTTGATTCCCTGCCTAGTTGTATGATTTACCCAGCAACTTGAAATTTTAATTACGGCCCAGATCAGCCCAAATCATTTTGCCAAATGACCTTATAATGCACAAATTTCATTTTTTTTTTTTTTACATTATCTTTGAGTGAGGCACCAGAGTTAGCCATGAAAGCAGGAATTTGAGGCAGTTCTAGGCATTTAAAATAAATTTTTAAAATATGAATTTTTGTTTTGCAACAAGATTTGCAATGTTTTGATTTTTTTTTTTGCAATTTGTATGGCCCCTTTTGACTGAGTTGCATAAATATGGATATAACTTGCAAGTTATCTTCCCCATGCACAACTTTCAGTGTGTCACAGTGTGTCTGACTGTCACATTATTGGCAGCATTGCAAAATGATGGTACAACACAGTCCGTTGCTAACAAAAAAGTGCTGATCGGTGTTATGAATGCTATGTAGGGTACGCAATAGGAAACACGCAATGTAGATTCAGGAACATGTGAAATAAAACCACCACTAGATAGGAAAGGGGAAAATTTGGAATAATGTCATAATATTAGTACATTCATTTTAAGCTCAATTTCCTTTAACTGTCTAGGGTTCAACTGCATCATCATTTGATGAAGGGGCCACACCTTCCAAATCAGTGGTGTCAAAAACAGTAGTGCCACCATTGAATTTGCAGGGTAAGAAATGATTGTAGTTACTCAATGTTTGTTGTTTTTTTTTAATTTTAAACAATTTAAAAAACAAGGTTTCTGTCCCCACTGAAACCTTTCAAATTTGCTCTAGTTTTCATCACACATTAATTTTGCTCACAGTTCCCCAGTTTCAGTTTGAGTTCATAATAATGAGTTATGTTGTGTGATTTTCGGAGCTGTTTTAGATTTTATAAGTGTTGACAACTTTGATATTTAGAATCATAATGCAATGTATCAGTGCTTGAAAAAAAATGCAATGTTATTCCAGGTTGCTCCATGCTGGATTAGGAGCTTTGAAATTTTGATTTTTCAGGCAGCGCTGTAGCCTGCGAACGGCAGACATTTCTCCTTGCTCATTGCTGTTGAGGGATGTTTCAGGAGCCAAAACGTCCCTCAGCAGCGATGAGCGAGGAGAAACATCTGCTGTTTGCAGGCTAGCAGGTCTGGTTGGACATAGTTAAAAGATAATTTAGTTACAGTCTAACCTGCTTAGTACTTTGCCACTGGCAAGTTAGCACAAAGAATTGCTTTTGTGGCAAAAAATCCTCTTGTCCAGGAGAACTCATTGCTGTCTTTAAGGCCCGTGAGGATTCCCCTGGCTTCTATAAACATTACCCCTGACTAATAATGGCATACCCAGCAATTTGAAATCTTGCCCGGTGAGAGCCTTGACAACTAGACAGGAATTTTGTCAAGCACTGAAGATTAATTTTAGTGATGTTTATGATATTAATATCATTCTAGCTAACTACCTTAACTCCCTATGAGAAAGATCGATAACAATAGAATGGGATTGTTAACAACAATTTGGTGTCTTTGTTGTCTCAGAGGTTGGTAGTTATGAGAGAATACTGACTCTGGTAAGTTATTCTTTGATTTTCTGTTTATTACAGCAGTTTCTTGTGATACATTAACTATCAGACAAGTGTTTTTGTCTGGTATGGTGGTCAGAGAAAACAGATGACATTTTGCAATGCCACCAACGATTTCCCCATGAAATGACGTCTGAGAAACAAGCGCAGAAATTCCATACTGATGACGTGTCACTACCCAGATCCGGGTACTGCTTCTGATTGGTTGTGCCACTTGTGAAATTTCCTTCAACCAATCGAGAGCACTACCTCATTGGGTAGTGACACATCATCAGTATGGAATTTCTGCACTTGTTTCTCAGACTTCATTTCATGGAGAAACTGTTGGTGGCATCGTGAAATGTCATCTGTTTTCTCAGGCTACTGTTATGGCTGAGAACTTGGTCATTCTACTGTGGCCAATCTCAATGGGTGAAACAAATCCTTGACAAGGTGTTTGCCATCAATCAATCAATCAATCAATCAATCATTTATTTTAACACGTTACATCAAAGAGCTAAAAAACTCGTTCAACTGGAACAACTGGGGCCAGAGGGACCCCTGCTACAGTATAATATGTAAATTAAAGAGGAGTGAGTGTGACTATACCCCAGGCCCCTGTCTTTGAAGCTGCATGAGTGGACTCAATGAACTTAGTAAAACTTTCTGTATTTTTGAGTTGTGTGGTTTCTTACATATATTTGTTATGTTCTATTCTATTTTCTGTTTGATTACAACTACACAGATTCGTTCTCAACGTGAAAGTGAGCCAGTACCATACCTGTACCTTCCTGATGAAATCCTGTTGCAGATATTTTCCTTTTTGTCACACAAAGACTTGGCATCTTGCTCTAGAGTTTGCAGTCAGTTCTATCGTATATCCTTGGATGAAACCTTGTGTAAGTTTTTGTTACAAAAGTTTTATAAACCTGGCCTCAGTTGTTCAAAAGCTGGATAGAGCTATCCATTGGATAGAGCGGTTTTCACTTGACTGTCGTAAAACCAAAACCAAAGTAAATACACTAGCCAACCAAAGGGCGTAGTAAAACCAAAACCAAACCAATTCCTCGATTACTTTCGACAGTCAAGTGAAAACTGCTCTAAATCTCTATCCAGTGGATAAGTATTAGGGAAACCAATTGCACTATCCACATGGTAGAGATTTATATGGTGGATAGGGCTATCCAGCTTTTGAACAACTGGGGCCAGAGGGGCCCTAACGTGATTAGCAACAAAATCTTTGACAGTGGTTTCCTTGATTCGGTGTGCCTAACAACAACTGTTGCGGTTAATACATCACTTCACCAACTCAATTTGTTGTTAGACTTGTACCATCAAGGATGAACTACCGGGTACATAAATTGTTTCTATAAACAAACAAACGTATAGATACAGCTGTAGGTCTGTAAATTTGTTGTACTCTTTTAAGTCCGTAAAAAATGTATGAGAAAAGGATCATTAGTGGATTATAGTTGCATTATGAGTCCATTAAAATGACTGCACATGCTTAGTTACTTTAATTTGTAAACAGTAATTTTTTCCTGAGATAATTATTTACCTTGATGCAACCATGATAACACGAGAAACAAAATCGCGAAATCCTAAACCTTAGCCTCTTTCACAGGTTGCATTTAACAGATTTGTCTTTCTTGCTTTTGAATTCATTACACATATTTCTTCTTTTCTTTTTCTTTGCTTTTTACTTATTATATTCGCTATCTGATTTGTAATAGAATTAATTTGGCACACCTCAGCTAGTGTTTTCTTGCTAACTACGTGCCAAAAAATTGTACTTGTAATATTATGTTAGTAAATGTCTTGTCTTGTCTTGTCTTGAACAGAATCAATCATCTGATGAATAATTGAACATAATCAATAATCAACATAATAATAACACATGGTGCAATTATTGTGTTTATCCACAGGGAAAGTCATTGTTCTGAAAAAGAACAACAATATCAATGATGAATGGCTATGCTCTATTGGAAAACATCGACCGACAAGTTTAACAATCTCCCAGTGTCACAGTGACAAAGTAACATCCAAGGGTCTTAGAGAGTTGTTTCGGAACTGTAGTGACTCCTTAGAGGTTAGGACAATCTTGTGAACAATTTACACATGTAATGATCCCATTTATTTACAATTACATTTTTAAAAAAAATACAGTTATTTTTAGCAATAGCCCAATATCGTGAGCACATTGGTATCAACTGCTCTAAATTTTTATCCTTGTGCAACCACCCCCTAAACAACCAACCCTCTCTTTTATGCAGCGGGACCTTGTTTGGTTGTAATTCCTTGATTGTTTCTCATTGTTTCTTTGTTGTAACCTCCTGAAAGTGACCACTTGCACACTTGCAGTAAGTCTGATCTCATACAACATAGATTACAAGTGGTACTTGAAGTGAAATAATTTGTTATTTAGAATTTGCCTGAAGTAAATTCTGAGAGTCATATTCATAGATGTGTGTGACCTGTTCTTATAAAAGACCCATTGTTGTTTGCCCCTCACAAGCAACCACCTCCCCTAATCAACCATTTAATCTTGTCCACTGTGGGATGGTTGGTTGGTTTAACTGTATATCTAAACCTTTTGAAGATACCATCCCTCCTTCTCTGCCTTAGCTGGTTAAAAAGTAAGTTAAATCAATTAAGGTAAACCCCCCAAAATTATTATTTCTAGGAGCTAAATTTCAGTAGTTGCCGTGGCAGTGAGTTAATTGGTGAGTCTGTTCTGCTGCACGTTGCAGCACGATGCTGTTGGCTAAAGTCTGTTGACGCAAGCTGGAGTAATGTCAGTGACAATGGTGTCCAAGCTCTGGTTGACAATGTAAAAAGGTAAAGGCTTTGTCAGTCGATGATTTATATATTCCTTCCGTGTTTTCTGTAACTTGTAGGCCGACAATTATTTTGAATGAAGCTGTCAGTTCAAAAATGGCACAGTTGATGTCAATTTTGCACAGGAAAAAGTTGCTCGGAAATTGCTGAATTCGTGCATACAGACTCATTTTATGGTGGTGAACCATTTGGTCAGTGTGATTATTTTTCTCTCTGAGGCATAATTTTCAAGATAATTTATTGGATGATGAAATTGGTAGTTTAAACAAAGGACTCTCAGAACAATATGGTAGATTGTATACTTAAAGATGACTAACAACTATGAAAGAAGTAAAAAAACTTTTGATTTACATTTGCCAAACTGTAACAAAAAGTGTTTAAAAGTAGCTTTTTTGTATGCCATTATCACAAGCAATATTAGTTAATATTAAAATTAATGCAAATAATTCAATATATTTTCAGTACTTGTTTTGATCTTACCTTGAAAATGACAAAGGGGAAAGGGGGCCTGTACTGTCTGTGAAGTATTTTGACGTGAATTTTAAACATGTTGTAGGTTGGAGTGTTTGTGTTTAAATGGGTGTCAAGCAGTCAGTGATGAGTCAATCAAATGTGTGGCTAACAAACATGGCAAAACGTAAGTTTTCGTACAGACTGACATCTGCAATCCTTGCATTTTGAGCAACAAGGGAAAGACTTTTTATCCATGAGGATGGTAGCTTAACAGTATTACCCCAGTATGACTTATCATGCATGTTTATTTCGTGTAACAGATTTGTTGAGAAGCAAATAAAAAGGATTTATTGCACCTAGTAGAATTGTTTTCCTTGAGTAGATGGTGTTTCTTCGACAACTTGATGGTAATTTTTGCCTGTTGCCAGTGCTACCAGCTATAATCTATATATGATAAAGTTTTAACCTAATGCCAAAAACTGAAGAAATAACACCCTGATTTTCTTGTCATTATTCTATAGCCTTAGAATCTTTGAAGTGTTTGGCTGCTTTTACATCACACCATATGGAATTAGAATTCTTGGTCAGACTTGTAAACAGCTACAGACGCTGAATATTGGCCAGTGTCATAAGGTAAGGAGAATATACAATGAAATCTTTTATTCTTCATGAAGTTATGTTGCTCAATCAAACAAAAAGGTCTTTGTAACTACATGATTAACCTGGCCCTGGTTGTTCAAATCACTGTCCATCGGATAAGTACTGAGGCCATTTTGAGTTCCAAAAGCTCCCATTTCCAAAACAATGCTAAGTTCAAAATGTTTCATTTTCAAATCACTGGCTTTGCACTTAGCCTCGCTTTGAAACAGGGGCTTGGGGTACCTCAGAATGAATAGCCTATTGGGTTATTCACTGGATAGAGATTTCGCCTGTGGATGTTTGAGCAACTGCGGCCAGATATCCCTTTCCATCTTTTGAACATGCGTAGTTTAATTATGATGTCCTCTTCAATTTTGCTGAACTGCTATACATTAATGAACTGTTAACAAAAACTTTTGTTTATCTGTTTTCATTTTGCTTGACTACTGTTGCAGATTACAGATTCAGCGATCGGATCATTGGTATCAAACCTACCAGAGCTTGAGAACCTTGATCTAAGAGGCTGCAAACAGGTAGAATTACATCTTTATTTTATTTGTTTTAAGTTTTCTTTGACCAGCCTTTTGACCTATTGCACAATTCACTAGTATAATATTATGTCACATTTTCCTCAAGCGAATCCCTGAAATGGTCTCGATCCCATCTCTATTATGCCAAATATACTTTGAAAAATGAAAAATTGCGGTCATTTGCTTTAACCATAAAAGATGCCAAAAGAAAAGTGTTGAAGACACATTCATCTCTATTGTTTTAATACATTTTGTATTGACAGCAATAATCAGAAAACCTTCCAACAGATATAACTCATGTTTCATGTGGACGCCAACATTGCCTTTTCCAGGTGTTCAGCTGGGGCGGCGGGGCGGCAGGGGACTGTGGAAAGAGATGTGAGCACAAAAAAATAACAACGAGGGGGTGGGGTAGGGGTGAGAGCCCTCTTTTCCTCCTTATTTTTTCCTCGCTCTCTTCCTTCGCGCAACGCCCCACTATCCGAATGCCTGGAACAGGCTAACAACAACAATGTAGCCTGCCCCACAGTAGCCTGCGTAGCAAGCGTTTCCTCGCGAGGTTCGTCTAGAAAGCTGAGACGAGAGCAAAAAAAAAATGAATGACGGGGGAGGGGGAGGGGAACGAAGGACTCGATTGGAAACGCTTGCTACGCAGGCTAGCCCCACAGACAGAACTAGACTTATAATCCGGGTTAAATTACGTCTACTAAGCAGGCTACAAAAAAGAAATTATTTCTGTATTGTTTTGCCACTTAGAGGTAAGGAAGTACAGCAAACTTTCTGTCAGCTGCAGAACTGTTGTCTTGATTAGCCAGTCAGGTCGACATATTTAATACTTATACTGAAGCAAACGTTTATTTTCTAATACATAAAAACTTTACTACAGGTTCGTGACTCAGCAGTGAAGAAGATTGTTCGCCACTGTCCACTTGTCACCACACTAGTTCTGGCGAATTGTCCTCTTATTACAGATGTGTCTCTAACAGAAATAGCCACCAATCTTCCCAGAATAAGGTAGCATGCAGACGCTCTTAAAATCTTTTAGCATACATGTTTACATTTTATTTGTAACCATACAAAAGTTTTATTCTGTGGATAGACGCCTGTCCAGGATCACGCTGTTAATGTGGGGGCTGAAGTTGGGAGGGGGGCATCGGAGGTAAAATCAGAAAATTCTACTTTCTCGCTCACCCTATTTTTGCCTCTACTTCCTGGTGCTTTTTACTCACAGGTGCGCGGCTCATTTTGTCGAGTTCTCGTTTGCATTGAGAAAATAGAGAGTAAACAGCCTGTTTTTCAGTGCCTTTGTGCACACTGTTAATGCGCGTGCATTATTTCGGTGGAACAATGTTAGTCAATTCAAACGCAGGAGTGAACTTAATTCTGCACATGCATAAATTCATTGTTACTAAGCCGTATTCGTCGCTAGTCACAATGGCCTCAGTTTCAACGATGATAGATTGTTAATGATAGTAACAGTCTCATGTTCGACATGTTTGAGAATTCAAGCTTTTAGGATGCTGACAGTTATCGAACTAGTTTTAATTAAGAATTGGCTCTGTCTCCCTGGAATGCTAAAGCAGGATAAGTTATCGAATTTATGTTTTCTTCTTAGGTCTCTTGATATCTGTGGCTGTTCCAGAATAAGTGACAATGGTATCTGTGCTCTCTCGAAAAGTTGTCAGCGCCTGGAACTTTTAGATTTGACCTCAACAGGAGTTGGCCACAAGAGGTTCGTTATTTATTTTTTTTTCGAATTTCTCATTTTTTTGTCATATTTTCAATGCATGTTGGTCACCATTCCTGGAGGAAAAATAGCGTAAAAAGCAGCCGAATTTCCCGACGCCACCACTGGTTTCCCGCGAAATGACTTCCGAGGAAAGACTGAAGAAATTCCATACTGATGACGCTTCACTACCCAGATCTGAGTAGTGCTTTCGATTGGCTGTGCCTCGTGGGAAATGTGCTTCAGCCAATCAGATTCACCTCCCAGACCCGGGTAGTGACACGTCATCAGTATGGAAATTCCGCGCTCGTTCCCCAGACCAGTGGTGGCTTCCGGAAACGTCGGCTGTGTTCTTAGGCTAGGATGAAAAATTGCTTGGATTTGGTTTGTTGTTACATAGCTGTCATTGAAACCCTCTCCCCCCCCTCCCCCCTTAAAGTTATACTGTTCACCACGCGTGTGTGTTTAAGATAATATAAAACCGTATTCAGATGTAATCATGTGGGAGAATAAGGGGACCCTTAAGTAACAAAATATGTACTTGTATTCTCCAACAGAAAAGTAAAGTTAACCGTGCTCTTTTAATTTTTGTGCGCTTACGTAGTTGTTGAATGTATTTATATAGATATTTGCGCCTTATAAGTTTTGAAATTGAATTAAATTAAATTATTTTTTTTTAGTGTTTTGTCACTCGCCAACTACTGCAGTCAAAGTCTGTGTAATCTAAAGCTGAGTTTCTGCACAGATATTTCTCAAAATACAGTTGCACACCTCGCTAAGAACTGTAGAAGGTAAGGCAGCACTTTTGAGTTGTCTAGTGTTTAAACAAAACGGAACAAACATGTTTCTGTGAGACGCCACACATGTCCCAACACTGCACGTGACTCTGTCACTATTACATGTCCCTTCGATATTTCTACTTCTCTTGAAACATGATGTCCCTTGTTTCCCTCGTCTCCCAGAGTTGGCCTAAAGGATGGTTTGTTTTGTCTCTCCACAGGCTGACCACACTTCACTTGTACGGCTGTAAGCGCATACGTAACACCTCACACCTTAGGCTACTCAACCCTGCACTTACGATCGAGTGTTGACATGTGATCAGAGCATGCTAGTATCGATGGTGATCGACTTGTTATTATTTTCCTTCCTATAACCCAATTTGACGCTTTTACTGCCGGTGTAATAGTTCAGTATCAAAGCCTGCAAATATGTTCATTCTCTTTACCAAGCTGTAACTGGCAAACCAGCAATCACATTTGACACACTCTTTCTTTTGCTGATCTAATTTTCTGTCGAGATTAAGAGAACGAACAAGTTGTTGTTCGGTAGCTGGGAAGGTTACTTATCTAGTGACCTACAAATCAGACGTCTTTTAACCAAGGGAGTGGCCCGAAAGATGAGCTTAATACCGGATTGGCTGATTCGGTTGATCCCAGAGAAAACGATCATTGTGATTTCCCTGTAAATTTTCGCGTCTTTTCTTAACCAGTCAGACTCCCTGACAGACTTGTTCCCCGTGCTTGGCGGGAAAAAGTCAGGTTGTGATTGGCTTATTCCGTTTTTGTGTCTGCTGTGATTGTCCGGACTTGTTTCTAAGCCTGACTTAGCCTGTTCTTAGACCCTGTACCTCGGGCGATTTATGGACCACAAGTGAAAAGGTGTAGAGGTGGGATCGCTCTTGAGAGAAAAGGTTTGTTGACAGGCTGAGCCTAACTTGGATACTCCCCCAAGTGGATCGGTTTTGTTGCATGAAGATATTGTTTTTCAGTGCAAATTTGTGCTTTGCGGTTGTACAGTTAAATTCCACGGGCGTAGCCAGTCCATAGACCGGTAGGCCTACAAAGTTTTGGTTTGATCACTCTATTGCTTGTAATAAATTATGCGATGTTGGGGTGAACTAAAAAGCTTAAGAGCTCAAAGTGTTGGTGGGGTCGGTGCGTACAAGTCATGCGTGCAAAAATCAGGATATGTTGAAATGAAAGTCAGCCAGGCCTATGCTTAGTCGAAAGGCTGACTACGCCGCTGAATTCCTTGTTAAAAGTGTGATGTAGATGGAAATATAGAATTCTATGGGGAAGAAAATAACTGCGTAAATAGTAAAATAAAAAGCTGTTCTTGTTTGTAAAGAATGAGAAACTTATCAGTGCACGACTCTTATTAAACAGATTTGGCAAAGATGTCTTTATTTTTCTAATGTACCAGCATAATCATAAAAACCTCTGTCCTGACGATTATATTCGACATACATGTTTGGATAAATCGCTTTATACCCCGATTTTCATCGTTTTGTTTTTGTTTTTTTTTAAAGTTGGTGATTAACTTTGTCATTTGTAGTTCACAGAGTTTGAAAATCGCAAAGTGAATTGGTTTAATATCCAGAGGTCATATTGATTATGCATGGCAGATATGACAATTATACTGTAATTTACTTTAACATTAAATTATTAAAGTTAATGGTCTATGAATTTCTTGAAACAAAGGATTTCGCCGTGTTTTCGTCCAGTCTTGGATTCATTTCTGTTAAGGAAGAATGTATATAAGATGCATATATTATTCTTGATAATAGTGTGTTTTGTGAAAATTCACTTGAATTCAGAAATTATCGTAATAAAAACTGCGTTTTTGAGTGGGGTTCTAATCTTGGAGAATCAAATTGCACGTCATCTATGTTTTACACTCGGTTTGATAGACGTGCTTTTCAAGAAACGAGCTTTTGAAATTCAGCTAAACAGATGCTTGAGAGAAAGTGGGCATTTTGCCTAGATATGTAGAGCTTACAGCTTGTGTGATCTTTTGAGGTGGAGTAGTCGTGCAAAAACGGTCTGCACGATTCAAGTGCAGGACCAGAGGTTGATTTGATTCAAATTTGACAAATTGACAGCGAAGTATTATTTTTTTGGTCGACCGAAGCTCTGTGAGAGGCCCGGTTCAGACGTCGAAATTTCACGAGACGAACCTGAAACATTGAATTAAGTACATGAAAAGTCGGGCGTATGAATACGCCTATTCACTTTTAGAACACGTCAGCCGTTCTTTCCGCCTTGCCCGGCCGGGAATTTCGACTTTGGAGCGACTTTGAACGGCTTTGATTCAGACGCTGAACTTTTCACGTGCCGAACCTAATACATAAATTATTAAAACGTGTCTGGTTTTGAAAGCAGTTTGACCGAAATGAGCATTTTTCTGCTTTTGAACTTAGTTGGGCTGGAATAAAGATTAGCGTCTGAATCAATTCAGCCGGGCTGAATAAACTCTCCGTAACCACGTGGCGGCGCGGAATAATGGGGCTGAGGGACTAGGCAAAGTCAGTTCCAAAGAAGGGCCTTGCGTGAAAGTAGTACACGGTTTCGATGTAATCCTCAGATTGTTTCCCTAGTTAATTAAGGGTTGTCCTAGTAAGGTTAAAACGGCCAGGGGCTTTTTTGTATTGGGAGTAAAGATGTCAAAACGACCTGGGCAACGAGATCGTCAAAAAAAGCAATATGTTTACGACGGTTTATGAGCAAAACAACAATTGTGTTCTGCTAATTAAATAAGCAGAACAGAATTGTTGTTTTGCTCATAAACAGTCGTAAACATATTGCTTTTCTTGGCGATCTCGTTTTAAAAAACCTATTACATTTCGAGGTTCTTGTTGTCGTCGCTGCCGTGGTAGCTTAAGTTCTTTAATCATCCAAGTTGGTTAATAATGTTTAGCGAAACATTATACAAGTCATCAGGCAGGGCTTCCTGCTGGCACAAGCGCTCACAGGATTACCATAGTCTGTTCCAAGTGTTCAAATTGGGGGGACGGCGCAAAAGATATGTGAGCCGGAAAACAGCGAGAGAGGTAGGGTATAGTAGTGGGTCAGTGAGAGCGAAGGAGCAGTGTTCCATCCTCCTCGTCCTTAGAGAGATTTTCGTGTGGCCTTGAAAAATGGTTTCGTTAAGTATTTGTTATTTGTTTTATCAGTCAGTGGATGAAACGATCAAAACATGGACTCTTCGTTTTCCCGCCAAAGAAAACGATTCGATTGACCAATCGTGTTGCAGTTTGACGTCAAAGCGAAGTATCGATTGATTTTTAGAAAGTTCTTGATGATCCGTTCGATCATCAAATCGCTCTATTTCTGTTCGTTTCTTGTTTTATTCGCGCGTTTTCATGGCCACTTCAACGTCAGACGAAAATCGCTCTAACAGGGCCCTTTGTAAACAAGCAAATGCGGGCAGGTTCCTCACCTCTAATATTTCTCTTTCTCCGCCAGCCAATAGCCGAGTTTCCAGCGTTGACTGCTCCTGCCTGTTCTTCTCTCCTGTGTTCTCTTCCTCTTTCTAGAACTTTCTCGTATTGATCCTTTGTTCCTGCTACTTGGTTGATAATTAGAATACTGCTTAGTGCAGACACGATTAAAACTATAAATGGAAATCTCATCTGAAAGCAAAGAAAACGTGGGCAAACTATGGTCAGATCTTTATAACCTGACTTTTATTGCTAGGGCTTACATTTTTGACTTTGATAAGTGATGAGGTCCCATTGGTGACCGCTAACGCTGGGTTCATGAAGAAGCCCTATTAAACCTGGCCGGTATAGACCTTGTCACGGTTTTCGACGCCATCTTGACGAGTAGGCAAACGTGGGAGAAATTACAGTGTTTGTATGAGAATCTAATGTCGAATAATTTCCGTAAAACGGCTGTTCTGAAAAAAATATCAATTGTAAACTAAAAGCTACTAAAGCTACAAAACAAAGGATTGTCCTAAAAAAATTTGGGGGCGTACCTGTGCTTAAATTTGTCCATAGGCTTACTTTAGATTTTCCATACATTTGTCTGTAATTTTCCCGGGACTTTCTTACAGACAAATGTAAAGAAAATTTTAAAAAGTGGTTCTAGGTCTTTTAGTGCTCGTAACGCCCTCAAATTTTTTCAGGAGAATCCTTTGGAGTGAAGCTTTAGTTTACAAATCATATTTTTTTCAGAACAGCCGTTCTACGGAAATTATTCGACATTAGATTCTCATACAATCACTGTAAGTTCTCACGCGTTTGCCTACTCGTCAAGATGGCGTCGAAAACCGTGACAAGGTCTATTAGAAGAAAGACACTAATCCTATGGCATTGTCCCCTAGCACTTATTTTTCTGAGAAATGCATACTTACTCTGACTCAATCACGTAGCCCATATGATCCCGCCGAAAAAAAAATGAAGCTTATTGCGTATGGGCAGAAGTAAAGCAAAGAGTGCAAGGGGAAATTGAGAGCTGGATCTAGGAAATTTAACTTAGAGATGCAATTGAATATATAAAGCGAATAGTGAAAATCACGAAGCAATACATAAGTTATCTTTAGGCGGAAACTTTACCTCCTTTAACTGAGTAGTGATTGGTCCTCGGTTTATCTTCGAAAGAAAAGAACTGCTTTCTTTTCCAGTGGAGAGGACGGTCCAACAATATCACATCTGAGTTAAAACTGATTAAAAAAAAACTCTTTCTTTTATCAGTCTTAATTCATTCACTGTCTATCTGCCTAATGGCGAAAATAAATCAACCTAAGCCCCCTTACTCCCGGCTTCCGACACTGGGTAAACGTTCCATAAAGATATTGAATTCACTATTAAGCATTTTGATTTATGTGCCTTAATATTTCCCGAATTAACACAATTGATTAGTCAAAATGAGTCATCAGTAATCCACTACCGACAACGGAAAACAGGACAGGAATCGGTAATTTAATAAGAACTGTTCCTCAAACCCATCCGGCTGACGTGGACGGTTCTTTGTTCTTTTCACTTAATACAATGCCAGATCATGATTAATATATGTTACATAAAATTGGCTACAAATATAGATATATGTTAAACAAAGAGATTTCACCAAAAAAGATTTATGAAATCGGTTAGTGGATCATGATCTAAAAATGGAAAAAAAAAGCGAAAAAAAAAAAGAAAAAAAAAAAACAAAAAAAGAAGGAAGATATACCTGGAAGAAACACAAAACAAATAGTAATATATATATATAATTTTTTGCTAATAAGTTTTAAAAACGTGAAGATTCTTTTTAATATGTAAAACATTTTTCGATTGTCTCACTGATTCGTTATGTTTTACAAATTTAAATAATCTTTTGGAATCTCGCGATTCATTAAATTCTTTTTTGACCGTTTGCTAAGCCCTCGGTTCCCATTCAGTAACTTCACAGTTGCTTTTATTTATTTTTTTTTTTCAAAAGCCGAATATTGGCTCCTACTAGGAGCGCATAACTCAAGCTATACACTTTTCTTTCCGATCCAGTTTACTATAAGAATTGAAGGTTTATGCAAAGGTGATAAATTAGAAGTCTTCAAATGTGAACTTGAGATGCACCCAAAGACAGTGAATGTAGTTAGTAGTTCATGGTAGTTACGTAATCATCTTTGACTGATTCCCGATCACAATCAGGTCCTACTAAATCAGGTAATTTCCGACAGTTTAAGTAATTGTCGAATCAAATGATTACTACCATACTCAGATTAGTTTTAATGATTACTGACGATTATTAGCGATACGAATATTACGAGTATGTCATATGTGGTAATGTTCCAGTTTAATTTCCGATTTGACAAGCAGCGTAGACTATTGCCTGACCAGAGACGCCTCTGAATAGCGAAGCTTGCCAATCATAGGCTATGATTTCCATCTCCTCATCTTAAAGAAACTGAACTCCTTATCAAACTGTGTACGAAGTGGGATTTACTTATTTACTTGTTACAAAGAGATGAGCCAGAGTTAGAAACCAGAGGGCTACCACGTTACATGAAGCTAATTTAAGCCTGAGCAAATAGAAGAAAGCAACAAGAGTAGCTATTTTATGAAAAGCGTGCACTTTAAGTCAGAACTGAACGAAGTTCTTTGCACGTGATGTAGTGTTTTTAGTGGGAAAACGAGTACCTCTTTTGTGGATAGGAAACAAATCGTGAACTTCACAGGCTGGAAGATTCAAACTGTTTGAAGTTGAACCCAGTATGCTCTTTGTTTAGGAACAAGAAAAGTAGCAGCTGTAAACGTATGATTGATCACAATTCTCGCTAAAAATCTCCTTGAATAAATGGGAGCAGAATTTTGACTGAGACTTATTCCACGTGCATGGAGAGTCATTGCGTTCAGTCTAGAACAACATATCTGCCTTCTTGCATAATGTAAAAACTTACTTTTTGCGTCCCTTTTAAAGAGCCAAGAAATTGTTTTCCTGCCTGAATATTAGATACAAAACATCTAAAATCCTCCTCCAATAATACTTCAGTTTCAGATTCATTCATTCCTTCAATGTGATGTGAAAATCGTAAAGAGTGAGCACCCATCTTAATAATAAAAAAATCCACTTTAAAATTACAATCAATAATTAAAAAGAATTTTCAGAAGGCATCAGTGAATTAAGAATTGTTTCGTTTAGCGGTCAATGAAAGTTAAAGAAATTAAATTTGAATTAGCTAAAAAAACGTCGTTTTTCTGAATTATTACAAATTCTTTGGAGGTGAGAGCGGGAAAAAATTATGCTTTCTTCCAGAACTGTTTGACTTTTACTTCATGATTCAAAATTTATATATTAATAACCACTCATTCTAATTTACAAATACCTTTAACGCTCTCGATATTCAACAGAAGGTCTCCAGCTTAGGAATTAAAACAAGACGATTTCTAACGTGAGATCAGGCCCAATTTGAGCGGTTCTCATACATTCTCTCTAACGGCTACCGTTTCGCCATGCCCGCCGGAATGTTGTGTACAAAGCGAAACGAAAATAGAGCCTGATCTCAGGTTAGACGATTTCCTTTTCATCGCCGTGTTTAAATCAGGGTCGCCTTTTTAGTTAGATCTCGTGTAGTCGAGCAGCTGAGTCAACAGTCGGATTTTCCTAGTCATTTATACCAGTCTCTTAAAAATTATATTGTTTGATGCAGATGTGTTCCGACAGTTAATCATCAATTTTGTCTTTTTGGCTGAGATGAAAATTTCCATGTTCCGCGTTTCGGAATTCTGGGCTCATAGTTTTTATAGCAGCTTTTTCCCTGATTATCAAAACAACCGCAGATTTTTTTGAGGACTGTATAAAAGTCTCTCAGTTTATAATTTAGTGTTCAGCGCACGAAAGAAGATGGCCTGCAGAGCAGGCGTTTTGTTTTAAAAGCGCAACCCTCCCCTATTTAGACAGCGTCAACCTCTCCCCTTTTTTTGAATCGCCCCAACTCTCGATCAGTCGAAAGTCCAAATCGATCGCACAGCAAAATACGCAGAGCTTACTCAGAGCTGAAGAGCTGACCTCTTGGTGTTGCGTAATTGGGTTGCCTGTGAACTCAAGTTGTACCCCAGTCTCTTTTGCCATTGCTCCGTCCGCCAAGAAGAGCTCCAAGATGGCGGAAGCTCGTGTTTTTTTTGTGAAAAGACCATAAAAAGACCTTGGTTTGGGCGTGAAAAGTCTTAAAACTGTCAGTAGGTACTTTCAAAGCACACTGTTTTCACTCCTATGATGAAATCAGTTTCTTCTCAAGACAGCATTCACAGTTAAGCTTACAGTCGTGCACAACTAAACAACCTGGAAATCAGTTTGTTCTGGTGAAGCCTCGCGCAAAGGTGCCTGTAGAAGGTCCGTTAATTCCATACGTGTTGCTACTTGAGCACTTATTCGTTCTCTTAGTTTGAATTCTTAATGTAGTCGTATTAATGCTACTATGAATGAATTCCAGCATGTGACTCACAAAATGTTAAAAATTAATCCATCTCAATTCTGATATAAGCTCAAACTTTAGCTGAGGATCACTGATTCAGATTATGACATACAATGCAAAATATACCTAAGTAAAGAATATGTTACTGAACTGTTTTTTCTCTGGCTCTTCTTTGTAGGCCATCAGCAACTGAATATAATTTGATAAAACGACCTGTGTGGTGTAAAAATGGAGTTTGAGACTGTGGGTAAAATAACAGACAATTTGGAGGACATTTCCAAGCAAATTAAAACTGTTGAGGTATTTGTATAGGTAATAGCATGATTAGTAGTGATATTTGGCATAAATACCACGAGTTATATTTCAAAATTGTTATACATAATTTTTGAGACAATTGTGAAATATCACTTGTGGTGTTTATGCTACACCTACACATCATGCTATTATTTGTCTATACTACTATCCGCAAAGGTTTTGTAATTTTCACATGTAGGTATTTCAAATTAAGCTATTAATACCACTGCTCTAAGCCAATCAAATTGCACAAATTTCTCATGTAGAAGTATAATTGTACGTCATTGTTAATATAAAACTGTACTTGTACTGAATTGTTAAAGACTGCTCCTGCTGAGGAATATGTGGCGCTCATGTGATGATTTTGAGTATAGTGTTTTGAGGTCAAAAGACCCGTACTTTGCTTACCACATGTGACTGTTTGACTCTAGCGTACGTCGGTTGGTAAGGATAAGTAAAGGCAGTGATGATAATACTTGTGTGGTGAACAACCCACATATACCAAAGTTCTATCATGACTCTGAGGGTTTAGGGACAAAATTGCAATTTTTTCATGACTCCATTGTCTTGCAATTCCTAGAAGAGTCTTGAGCACAAAGAAAACCAAACCAAATACAGAAAAATGACCAGTAAGCCTCTGAGTCATTTTAGAAAGTTAATATATTGAAGATGGGCCATTGATTGATAAATTTTATTTGATATCTCTTGCAAACCACTCACTGGTAAATGGTGTTTGAAAGAAACAAAACTGACACATGTTTTCTTAATAGGACAAATGGAAACTTTTACCTGCATTTTTGAAGGTATGCCAAGGAGAGATTCATTTCTTGTTGTTTGAGAAAATTGTATTGTTGATGTCCTTAGGCTAATGAAATTTTTGATCTGTTGAATAATGATGAAAGCATGTACGTGGCAATTTGCAAACTGAAGATAAAGGATAAAGTTTATTATTTTAAATTGCTGCAGCTGCATGACATCAAAGTTACATATTTCTGTCAGTAATTAATATTGTTTTTCTAGTCTCAAAGAGTGAAAAAGTTCAGAACACCATTGATAAGGCCCTGTTAGACAAGCAACATGGCCTTGAATCAGTGACTTGTTCCCCTCTTCATTATGCAAATTGACTGCTATTGAAATTCAGATGAGGGACAAATGAACCTGCCCATTGATGTGACTACTGTTGGGCTATAAAATCCTGGTCATAATAACTATACATGTAGGTGTTTGCGTTAGCAGGGCCTTTAAGAAAATAAAAATATGTTAGGGTCAAAAGAACATGGTCTATAAGTGGGATTGTTATAAGGCAAGGTTTCACTGTAAATTTACTTGAATATACGCTTTGAAAAGAATTACTAGCTGTGTGACCTCTTAAATGTAGACTGCAAGTTTCCCTGTTATAGAAATTAATTTTTTTTTGTGGCTTCAGTCTCCTGAGGGAGTTTTCATATATCTAGTGCAGCAGATATTAGCAAACTTCAGGAGTAAGTTTCTTTAATATACTGTACTTATTACTAAAAAAATTGTGATTTTAGAATATAGGTACTCTCAAATTATGAAAAAATAATGTCTGTTTGTTTTTTAGGTCAAGGGACTTGTCAAGCAACACATAGATTCATTCAATTATTTTGTAAATGTGGATGTGAGTAAAACCTGGGGTTAAAAATTTAATTGTTGAAGTCTGAGATTCACTCTGGCTCAGCAGTTGTAGAACTAATCAGTGGAACATACAGTCGAACCTCCTGTAAGTGATCACCCAAAATGCAAGGACTGAGAGGTCACTTACGGGAGGTGGTCGTTTACAAGAGTCAAACCACAGGGGGCCTCTTCCGAGAAGAGGTCCAGGCAAACCTATGTTATGGAAGATAATTTATTGCATGTAATATGTATTGCATGTAATAATTATTTGTAAGTTACGACATGGTAGTTCCATGTTATCACTTAAGTTCTTCATATATTCAAAGTAGCACAGTGAACGTAGAGATCAGAGAATGCATCAAATGGTCGCTTGCAAGAGGATAAAAACAATGTAAAATCATTAACCGTCAGGCCTAAAAAGTGGTCACAATTGTTTGGTAAACTGGAGGTGGTTGTTTACTAGAGGTTACAACTGTAAGGCTTTGACCAGGAAAATTTTGGCGTTTTGGATTGGCGGTTGCTTATGGGAGGTGGTCGCTTACGAGAGGTGGTCGCACATGGAGGTTCGACTGTATGTCTTTTAAATCTTTGATTGAATTGCTGTCTTCTTTGCTAAATGAGAATTCTAATAGTAGTTTAGAGGTAGTTTGTTCATCTAGTTGCCTTCAAATGCATATTGTGTGGTTTAATATTTATTTTTCTTTTTTTTTTTATCCACTTTGATGTTTGTGAATGGTAATGAAAAAATATGAATAATATGGATAAATGTGAATTATTAGAACAACTTATCTGATTATCAAGTAGCCCGATGAGCGGAGGGATCTGAATCTGAAACTGCCTTGCTGCCTCCCAATAATACTGAAATGTTTGCCTTGTTTTGAAAGCTTTTATCTCATTGAGAGTGCTGGCAGTATTAGCATCCTATACTATTATGTTTTAAGCAAGTTTCTTTTTCTGTTAATTTTTGAAAGCTTTTTCTCAGGATTGAAAGAAGATTTACCTGGTTTTTATTTTCCTAGATAAAGAAGATTGTCAGAGCTAATGATAAAATCACCACAGATGCTGATCCTGTGTGGTATTTAAAGTAAGTTGTCCAATAACATTACTGAGAGGAATGTGACACTCCCTGTTAATAGCAATAGCTTGCCAGTCATGGCTAATGGGCTTCTAGCCACTGTAAATAACATTGTAAAACATATTCTTCTTTTCTACTGACAACCAAGCTAAGATACCAAGCTGCCCTTAATTAAGATGTCCCAACTAGCCTCTTCAGTCAATGCACTTGAGGTATAGCCCAGCTAATATGCTGTATTCATGCCAGCAATGTGTACTTATTTATAAGCTCTATACATGTACTTAACTTGAAAAAAGGGTTAGACATGTTATCTCTTTACAGGACATACATCTATTTCATAAATTTAAGGTGGCCAGTCGAAGTTTCTGTGATCTTAATGTTTCTACTTTTAGCATAAAATTGTTCATAACAAAATAAATATTAATTTTACTGTTACCAGCAATTTTAATATGAGAATCAAAGTTTTATTCTGCATCCTTGTTTAATCAGATCTGATGTTTGTTTCAGGTATCTAAATATTTATGTTGGTAGTCCTGATGTAGAAGAGTCGTTTAATATCACAAAGCCTATATCACCTCATGAAGTAAGTAAATGATGATGATCATTGGAAACTTATACATACAGCTGTACCAAATTGTAACTTAAAATAAGGTTCTCTAATAAGGGTTTTCCATCCTATTGTCCCGCCCCCCAACAAAAATTTTCCCCCAGTCTCACAATACATTCCTTTTTGTTGGCCTATCTATATACCACAAACATACAATTGTCTTATATTCATAATGGATCTAGTTGCCTCATCTTCAGATACTCAGAGGCAGAGGGTTGGGAAAGAAATTTCCAAATCTCATGTTCCCTTTATGAAAATACTGTTTATAATTTTGCCCCATCTTTTTGCTAAAAAAGGCCAAATCCAGTGGAGACCCTTGACAACTGATCCAATAAATTGTGCATTGTAGAATCTTCATCCTCATATTATTGATGGACAGCCAGCAAGTCATCAAGACCCATCTATTCAGAAAAAAACTCTATTTCATTAAGCAGTACTCTGTTTTTTGTTGCAGTGTCGTCTAAGAGACATGACCTACTCAGCACCCATCACAGTAGATATTGAGTATACTAGGGGCACACAGGTAAATTGCATTACATTATCCATTTACAGCAACGTACACTGGTATGTGTTAAGGGGAATGTAATACTAGCATCCAGCACAGATGAGGGGGTACATTTTGTATGAAGTACATATAATAATATTTTTTTATTGTTGCATATGCCAACATACTATAAACTGCTTAACAGGATACGTTTGGGCCATGTGGACCTTAATGGCTTGTTGTGCTCTTTAATCTTGGTGGCTTACACGTATGAAAGTGTTGCTCTGCTGCACCAAGTGTCTAATGAGTTATTCATTTATTTCTTCCCTTCTTTTCAGAGAGTGGTAAGACACAATTTACCTATAGGCAGGTATGTGTTAAATTATTTTGTCGTTTGGTCAGGGGCCAGTGATCAGGATGGCTATGTTTTTTTGTTGCTCTCGCTATTTACCAATATTATACGAAGATTTTAGACTAAACTTAGAGGAAACCTTGTCCTCTTTTTTAACTTAAATCACTATTTATTAGAACCTAAAATAGTTTCCTATTTATAATGGAATGGAAAAATAAAATGAAAATGAAATGAAAAATGAAAATTTTTTGTCCGCAAAAGACACATTTGCCATTTACACATCTCCCGTAATATGCCTTGTTTGCCCCGAAAGGTTTGTAAACCTTTTTTTAAAATTTATTCTGGATATTACAGTGGTCCCAAGAGAGATTGAAGACAATGCTATGCAAAATTTTGGAGGGCATACAAGGGGCATTATGGGAGATGTACCAATATCATTGTGCATTATCTTGTTCGATGAGAAATAGCAAGTCTTTAAAACTGAAGATTTGTAAAATTTTTGAATTGATGGTAATGGTGTAGTTTCTTACCTTCATATAGGATGCCTATTATGCTTCGGAGCTCCAACTGTGTTTTGACAGGAAAAAGCCCAGCAGAACTAGCATCTCTCAATGAGTGTCCTATTGACCCAGGTTGGTTTGTTTTAGTGATCTGCTTTTATACATTGTACAGTTACACACTTAAAATAAAGTAATAGACAAATATTTAAATAAATAACTATTTAACAGTGGGAATGTTTGTTAGTGGAGAACTTGAAGAAAACCTCTAAGGCCAGGGCAAAAACAAACAACAAACTCTACCCACGTACAGCTGTATGGCATTGCATTTGGGATTTGAACCTGGGCCATGTTTGGGAGTCAGGTGCTCCCACCGTTACAGAATGCTTACTTCTGAATTTTGTCCAAAATTATTGTTATTCATTTGTTACTCGTGTGTAGTTCTGTTTGTTTGGTGATCTTTGTTCATTCTCTTACAGGAGGCTACTTTATAGCAAATGGTACAGAAAAGGTTATTCTAATTCAAGAACAATTATCAAAGAATCGAATAATTGTAGAAGCGGACAAGAAAGGGAATATTGGGTGCTCTGTGACCAGGTTTGTCTGATCCAGATGTTGCCTTAATGTGGAAAGTAAAACATAGTATTTTTTATTATTAAAGATTATCAAAATGATACCACCAGTCTCAAATATCTAAAGGATAATCTATTGTTTTGTAGCTCAACAGCAGAGAGAAAAAGCAGAACAAGTATTGTTACAAAAGCAAACAAGTTCTGTTTAAAGCATAATGCTTTGACTGAGGTGAGAGTACAAGCATTACTTAATTTTTATGTGAAAATATTGTTTTTACGAAACAGTCATACATGTAATGGGAAATGAGATTTTTCTTCTTGTAATGCTTTAGGATATGCTGATAAGTTTGTTGTTGTTAATTTTAGGATGTCCCTGTGGTAGTGGTTTTTAAAGCCATGGGTATTGAATGTGAGCAGGAGATTGTTCAGATGGTTGGTTGTGAGGAAGGGGTCATCTCCACATTTGCTCCTTCACTTGAGGAGTGTCATAAACTCAACATCTATACACAGTTACAGGTATTTTATTCATTCATCAATGAAGTAGTTCAGAACTGATGTGTAACTCACAGTTCAGTAACAATCGCTGTAATGGTGTTTTTACCAAACTCTTGCTACAGTGTGTAACAACTGGAGCCAAATTGTTACAAGTAAACAAAAGAATATAGGTTAAGTAAAAATCAGTCTACTTTGATAAAGGATTTGTGTTTGCTGAAGGCACATGTCGATGGCACATTCTTCACTAAGCACCCTCAGCATATTGAAGCATATGTTTCCCTCATGGTTTAAGAATCGTTTACTTTCTTTCCTGCTTTGCAAAAAAGAAACTTGAATTTTGGCTTGTGTTTTGGATAAAAGTTACTTTCCCAGCAGGAAAATGAAGCTGACTAGAGGTAACTTTTGTCAAGTGAGCCCTTTTGCCTTGAACGACATATCTTGCTAATTTAACTGTGATGCCTTCTGGACTGTATTTTACTTCATGTTATACAATGTCAAATCAGTCTCTCCATAATGGGCAATACATAAGTTGTATTCCGCTATGTTAACAGGCACTACAGTATGTAGGATCTAAAGTGCGTCAGCGAGCAACATGGGGGAAGAGTAGAACAAAAGTGGAGGAAGCAAGGGAACTGTTGGCAGGAGTCATGCTTGCTCACGTACCGGTAACACTAAATAACGTCCTTCCAACAGCAAACATGTTAAGATTACTGTAGTGCCTAGAAGTAATGTACCAGTCGCGTCTTGTGTCCTGTGGTTTGTGAATTGACTCTCGTTTCGCGCAATGAGAGTGTCAGACATTCAGTGATTTTGTTACCAATAGTTATGGTGAGTCCTGGGACTCATCTGGTGAAAAATCATGAGTCCCAGTTAAAAAAAAAACGAGTCCGAAATTGGGCCTTTGTGTAACAAAACATTTAATCTGAAGACAGACTCCAAAACTCTGTACTACAGTATACTGAATTAAAATATAACCCTTCTATTTCAAAGCACAACAAAGGCTAAAAGAAATAGTCATCATTAAACAACAGCCATACTAACTGCCACAGTAATTACAGGAACGGGATATTTCTACAAATACACATGTTCAGATCAATCAATCTTTGCGTCCTACGGGACGCATGCCATGGATTATTTTGCGTCTTTGGGGATTTTTAACAAAATCACTGTACGGTCTGTCCTAGCTACTCGAACCACTTCGTGGCTTTATCCAGTAGGTAGTGGGAGAAAGTAAAAAAATGAAAGTAAAAAATGATAGAAAAAACATGATGTAGATTTTGCGAAATGATCAGTTTCTTCTCGGTTTTTTTCTATTAGCTAGTTATCAACACACCGTTTGAATGGAATTGCCGAGTTTCCGAATTTTTATTTAGTAACTTGACTTTGACTTTTCCTATCGCCGAATTGTATTTTGGTATTAAAACATATCTTGAACGTAAAGCTGAATAGAATTCTGTCGAACACTACTAAATGTTCTGTGGTCCATCTGCTTAATAATTTCAGGTCATCAAATATGATTTCAAACCCAAGTGTGTATTTTTAGCTCTTATGGTTCGCAGAGTGATCCTTGCTTGCAGTGACGAGGTAAGGTGAACTGTTGTCTTGCTCAATTCACTGCAAGAATCTTTATATCTTGAAGCTGGCTGCAGATTTAGTCAGTGTTGATACAGGCCTAAACGTTGCGGAATAATAGTGTCAAAAGAGTTGTTGTTATGCTTTCCGACTCAAGAATAAAACGATTCATAAAATAATTATTCTTGGCTTTTATGTGACTGCGGAAAAAAAGTAAATAAATAAAACTGTTTGCGGCTTGGTGCGACTGGCACATGGATTTCCCGCGGTTTCAAGGGACCTGATCAAGTGCGATATGATTAGTGATTTTTGTTCGCCTTTTGACACGTGGCACGTGACCTATTGGAAAAATGTGTTTAGTTGGGAGGCAAAGGGAGGCAAACATTTCTGCTTGGAACACGTAACAGTTGATATTTACAACTTTTAAGGGGCCTTTTCTCAGAGTTTTGTTTGTTTGTTTGGTTCTTTCTATTTTGGTTAGTTGGTGAATGTATCGGTTTTTCTCGACATAAACACACTCACATAACAAACAGAGGTGATAAATCAGTCCTTTTCAGCTTAACCAACCATGCCTCTCACTGGCTTGTTAGCCCGGGGGACTCCGCATATGAAAGGGGTGGGCATGCTCGTCGGAAATTTTGAATTAAACCCCTAAAGGAGAACGATCTGGGCGTGGCCCAAGCGTTTTTTGACCCCTCAAAGAGACGACAAAAATATTCATATCAAATATATATTTTTACATTTTTTCGCGTGCAACCCTAAAAGAGACCTTCACTGCTAAATATGATGGCGTTTTGCCCAGAACACCCAAAGTGATACCAAAATCCGAAATTTACACCCGTAAGCGAGACGACGAGCATCCCCTTCCATTTCATATGCGGAGTCTCCCCCGGGCTTGTTAGGGCAATGAATCCCTCTGCTGCAACCACCTCTTTTTTATGACTACATTTCGTTTGACGTAAGGGTGGAAACCTCTTCATCTGGAAACCTTGTTAACACTAACAGATTTTAATGACCCTTGAAGGGTCACATATATTATATTATAGGGTTTCTCTGCTTGACGTTTTTGTTGTTCGGCAGTTTCTTTTGTTATTTTGACATTTCAGTCAGTTTTAAGGTTGTTTGGTAAGAAATGTATAACCCATCGGAAAAATCCTCTTTAAGACACAGCTAGTCTGCATACCTGGCAGGATTAGCCCGCATGAGAATTCTGTATTTTTTTGGCGCTTTACACAATCCGTTTTTTTTACACTTCCGGATCACCTCTCCGCGTTTGCCGCCGGCCTAACCAGGAGAACCCTGTGTATCTAATTCCTTCCTGTACAAGTTTTCTTCGTTGTCAATGATTAAAGCTTGTTGTTTGTTGTTGTCCAGGCTAATGTGGATGACCGTGATTACTATGGAAACAAGAGGCTTGAATTAGCAGGGCAGGTAGGACAGCCCTGTTATTTTTTTTCTATTTTTCACGTGACAGGTTTTCTAGTTTTGACTGTATGACCACATTGGCCTGGGGACTACTCTCATACATCCATCGAGCTCAACATTAGTCTCTCGCGCATTTGCGCGCAAAGGAAGGCGGAAAGGAGTAAATGGGCGAGACAATTGACATAAGATCTGTCAGGTGCTTGGCCTCTCTTCTACCGGCCTCTTTTGGTGCCTAGCGTTATGTCACCAGTCACTCGCTTTTGTTGGCAACCAAAGTCCAAAGACCCTAACCCCGAGGGGGAGGCAACTCCCTTATCTTTTGTCACCACACAGGAACCTTGTGTTCAATAGTGCCGATCCTAGAAGTACGCAGGAAATGTGTCACACATGACGCGGGAGTATATAATCTTGCTTTCCACGAGTCTCTTCTTTGCGCAGTTGGATACAGCGCTGGGATGCTACGAGTTCGATCCTGCCGTGGACTGAGAGGTTTTCAATGTCCCATGCCCGCGAAATGAAAAATAAACAACCATTAAAAAAAACGTTTCATTGAGTTTCATCAAAATGTTCAAATGTTTCTGCTCTTCATTTCAGCTCCTGTCTCTTCTTTTTGAAGATCTGTTCAAGAGATTCAATGCCGAGGTAATGATTACCTAGTCTTTCCACAAAAATAAAACTTCGTTGTAGATCAGTAGGCTGTCCGACAGTCATTTACACAAGTTTTAAACTTTTTTCCAGCTAAAAAAGATTGCCGATCAAACAATTCCAAAACCCAGGGCTGCTCAGGTATTTATTACATTAGTACATAATTTTTTCATCTTTTACCTATTTTGATTGTCAGTAGAGTATGAAGTTGGAAAGAAATTGCTGTTTTTTTTGTTTTCCAGTTTGACATTGTCAAGCACATGCGCCAGGATCAAATAACAAACGGACTTGTTCACGCGATCACCTCGGTTAGATTTCCTATTTTTTGCTCTGCAAGTTAATGAAGGTTCAACCGACACCTACTGAGGGATTTCTGAAACAGTTTCTTTTAAAAGAATATTTATATTGTAAACCAACCTAACTGCAATATTTACCGGGAAAAAAAGGCTCCCATGTCAGCCTGAATCTTAGCTTGAAGACACTGTGATTCTCTCAGGTGTCTTCCAACTCCTAACAGGTTATTTTGATTTATTGCAGGGAAACTGGATCATAAAGAGATTCAACATGAATCGTGCAGGAGTTACTCAGGTTAGGTCCTTTTCGATGTGTTTATGTACAGAGAAGGTCTATTTTTAGCCAAAAAGACTTCAAAGTAATGAAATCCGTCAAGTTCTATGATTTTGTCACTGAAGAAAATGAATGTAATGAAAATTGTTTCTTTATATCTGAGACAGTTATCGTGTACCAACCAGTTTATTCTTTCCCGACTACTTGATGTTGCATTTGCACTGAGTCTAGCCTTAATTTCTGAGAGGAACGAGTCAAAATACACCCCCTTCTTCAGTATTTGTAACTTCTGAATTGCTATGGCGTTTAAAGGATAAGCAAGTGACCTTACTGAGCATGAATAATTGTGAAGAGGAAGTCAGGAAATGATATATCATGGTTATTTCCAAACATTAAGTTTTACTGAAATGTTTTGTTATTCATCTATCAGGTGCTATCTCGTTTATCATTTATTTCTGCTCTGGGTATGATGACAAGAATCACTAGTCAGGTAAGTACTTTTCAGACTGCAGAACTGTTAACCTTTCGTAGCTGGCAGTTTTGTTGCCGGGAGACAATGGTGGGAGAGTAGCGCGCTCTCGCAGAATCGCAGGCTACAAATCGTCGGTTTTGCTTTCTTTTACCTAACGTGCTGCTTTTGAGGCGTAAAGCGTGGATTTTCTCGTGATCGCCCACCCGCTCTACTTCTTTATCTTGACGACTGCACCCATTCCTGGCCAACGCAAAAGAAAGGCTGTTTTGTACTGAGTTTTATGACCTCATATTGTAAATCACTGCACAACTTTTCTCGCTACTAAAGTCAAATGATTATTTGCCAGAAAACAAGTTAGAATGGTAAACTGTCAACTTACCCAAGGGAACCCACATAAACCAAGAGGGTTATAAAGCTTGGGCTCCATAGTTATCAAAAATAAGAGAAACTAATACGCGAAGTGCGACAGAAATATGCCAAACGTGCGAGAGCTGACTTGTGATCATAAAAGTCTACAGTACTGCTCTTCCCGATTAAAAGCAAAATCAACTAATAAAATCTCATTTTATTGATGTTTCGTTTGGAATGAGAAATCTACTGTGACATTCGTTCAGTTTTTGAAGGTGAGCAACCTACGTGAATATACCTAGTAATCGATACATTTATTTATTAATTTACTTTTTTTACCACTCAGTTTGAGAAAACCCGTAAAGTGAGTGGTCCGCGATCTCTGCAGCCATCCCAGTGGGGAATGCTGTGTCCTTCAGACACCCCTGAGGGGGAGGTGAGAATCATAACTGAATAGTAAGATAGCGATAGCCGGCTGACTTACTGAATAATCAATTAGAAAAAAAACTGATAGTTAGGGCATGATCTTGTGGCTTCAGTTTTGCTTGCAAACAACTCGAAATCCAATTAAAGAGCACAGAAAATGTGAACGAAAAGAGAACACCGAGTGCAAAGTCCGAGAAAGAAGAGGAGGAGCGTTGAACGCTTGGACTTTTTATAACCTCGGAACATAACCTAGGCCTTAATTTTTTCCTGGAGCCACGAAGCTTTCCAAAAAACTCCTTTTTCAGCAGCCTTCGAAAACACACCTGTTATTGTTTTTAGGGCCGGGAACTTTGTTTGGAAAATTCATGTATTGTTTAGTTAGCTGTTAAACAATTCTTTCTGAGAGCTTCATGGCGTGTCGTGTGGTACATGTATAAGGTAGACTGGAATGAATACCAGAATGGCCCTGCAGCTGTGTTACTATAACTGAAGACTATTGCTAATTAATTTTGAATTAAAGAACGTTTAATTTGTGGTTGTTTAGGCCTGTGGATTAGTCAAAAATCTTGCGCTTATGACCCACATCACCACAGATCAAGAAGAAGAACCCATCATTCGCTTGGCCTACAATCTTGGAGTAGAGGTTTGTTGATGAAGTTTGCTGGTGAAGTTTGATCCATCTTTTTGACATGTGGTTGGTATAAGAAAGTGTTTCTTCTATTTCAAATTTTAGAATATAAGTATGCTGTCTGGTGAAGAAATAAGTCATCCCTCGGTTTATATTGTTTTCTTAAACGGTAAGTTACTACAAACTTTCGTTTTGGGTTGTCTATTGTCCTGAGATCGCTTCTCTTTTTAAAAAAATAGAGAAAATGACGTTATTCATGTGATGGTTATTGTTGCCCCAAAACCTGTAATGCATTGTTGGTACTATCACCCTTAGAACTCACGTCTTTTTGCATTGTGCAAGACAGAGATAAGGCTGGAATATCAGTAATTTCTTGCTCTTGTTTAAATGCATTTGCAACTTTAATTGGTGAAGTTTAACGTAGCCGATTTTTTCGTAGGAAACATTCTCGGTGTTGTCATGGACTACAAGCGTTTGGTGGAAACGTTTCGTCTGATGAGAAGAGGTGAGTTGTTGTTTTTCCCTTTTTTAAACCAAGCTACAACCCTGTAATGGTTTCTTTAGCGGGTATTCTATCTTGGTTCTAAGTGTTTTGCAGAGCTTTAGTTTGCTTGAGCCCTTTGCCTCAATCGTTCCAATCGTCCTAAAAACCAGCAGAAGTTGGACGATTATTGGTGAAAATCAGCCTTTGCATAGTCTTCCAAAAGAACGACGCACGGAGGGGGAATCCAAGGTAGCGATAGACCACAGGACACCCAAAGAAGTTGGTTTTTAAGATTTCTTGCACTGCAACTCTCATGAATTTGCTTGTGTATAATCTTAAATTCAGTAGTCGTTTCTTCGTAAGCGGGAACTCCACCTTTATGCTTGCTTGAATATCAGTTTTAACAGTCACCTAAAATGTAGTTTTGTGTGAATTTTTTCACTTGTTTTGTTTTCACTTGTTTTCAGCTGGATACGTAAATGAGTTTGTTTCTATTTGCCCAAATCATCAGCACAGGTATACATGCTAATTCTTTTTTTTTAAATTTAGCTTCCAAAAACTTAGTAAGGAAGTCAGTGCGTTTGAGACTGGGCTGCTATCTACAATCATAGACTTTTTAACTAAGTGTGACCAGTCAAATGAGATCTCTTCAGTAGTTGTTTTGCGGCATTCCACTTGATTTTCTGTGTTACAAAATGAAAAATTGTAATTTTTCTTGAATTTTAACGTCGGCTCTTTTCATCAATTTCCTTATAGTACTGTTCGAGAGAAAATCATGAAATACAGTATCAAGAAATTAATTCTTATGATCTCTGTGACTGATGCTTAAAAGCATCGGTATTACACAGAGAAATTTGATGATGATCACAGCTAAGGCACTTGCACCAACATTTCACAGAATCATTTTGTTTTCATCAGATCTTGCACTAATGACAAGTTTTATCACCCTTCATCGTGTTGCTCACTTTTTCAGTAGAATGACTAAAGTTTTTATTGTTATATATTGCAGATTTGTTAATATTGCATCTGATGGAGGACGTGTCTGTAGGTAATGTAAAGAGTTTACATATCAAAGGAAACGCCACCTTTTTTCTGAACTCACCGAATACATTTATCATTGTCATGTTTAATATTCCAGACCCTATATTATTGTTAAAAATGGAAGACCACGAGTGGCTGACCGACACATTCAGGAACTTGCTCAGGGATTTAGGTGAGCTGATTTGTGCAGTTGCAGGTCAAATTAAAGCTTGGAAGGAAAGGTAACATCTGAAAGACGGCAGAGGGAATGATGCGTTGTACAATCGTAATGAGGTTTCCATCCCTTTTTCACTTGATGTTACCTAATAATGACAACTTTCTGATCGCCTTAAAGGATTCTCCTACCATATTAGGTGTCTACCGTCTAACTTTGACCGTGATCAATGTCTTCGATATGGTTGTAGAATTTCAATTTTTTTGGACAGATCTGTCATTTAAAACGCTTTTATGTTTTCAGGTGTTTCGAAGATTTTTTACACGAGGGGCTAGTTGAATACTTAGATGTCAATGAAGAAAACGACTGCTCGATTGCTCTCTACGAAAAAGAGATAACTAGGTAAAGAAATGTTTACTGAACTTTACCAGGTTAAAGCACCAGACGTTAAACACTCTACTTAAAAATTTCAGTAAAACTGTTGGAATTTTCTTCACAGGGACACCACGCATCTTGAGATAGAACCATTTACTCTGCTTGGAGTGTGTGCTGGTCTGATACCATACCCTCATCACAATCAGTCACCTCGTAACACTTATCAGTGCGCTATGGGTAAACAGGCCATGGGTGAGTCATTCACTACTCAGTATAAATATGTAGACTTTCTATATGGTTGCTACGGGCCAGGAAAATGGTCAGGCAAATTTAAACTACTTTACGGTCAGGGAAACTCGGGAAAGATTATTTTGAGTAAGGGGAAACTCAAATTATAATACCACTGATTTGATACAATTGAAAACTGCAATGACGTCTTAAGTTGATTAAAGAGTTGAATTGCCTCTTTTTTAAAAGGTACCGGTAGGTTAAAATTCTATATTCATAAAATATGGGAAGATGTAAAGAAGGTGGTAATTGGAGGTTTCAGGCCGCCAGTGTCTCTCACATTTTGTATTTATTTGGTCCAGAGATTTAGTTTTATGAGAAAAAAAGTTAGGAAGTTTTGAAAAGTACCTGTGGCAACTATGTTCTAATCTTCTCGGTTAATTTAAGAACAAAAAACCGGAGGCTCCGTAGGACCTGGTTTGGCTGCAATAACAGTGAAATGTTACTTGTTAAGTGTTGTATCTTATTTTTTTAATCTCAGGTTCTATTGGTTACAACCAGCGTAACAGGTGAGACTAGGTGATATTCTGACTGCAGTGAAACGATACACGAGTCGAGGATGGGTTAGTATAAGTAATGTCCCGCTGAAACCGCTCCCACCAAAGATGTGGCCCAAAAATATGAAGGGACTTATTCCTCATCAAATGCAGTGGCTTTACATTCCCATCATATAGTAGAAATATGAAACTGCAGACTGAACTTACCCAAATAAAAAATGTAGAAAAACCTAATGCGAGCAAGATGACTGACTGACGTAGAATGGCACAAGCCCCCTGCCAATAGTCTAAATAGCCCAAAAACGTTCCGCCATAACAACCTTGGCGGCACTTTATTGTGTCATGTTACTGAATCTTTAGAAATTACATTTTTTTAATATTGTAGGTTTTAATTTGTTTTTTTATTTTTTACAGAATAGATACATTGTTGTATCTTTTGTGTTATCCTCAAGTTCCTTTGGTCAGGACAAAGGTACGTTTTTCCGTTTGTTTACACATCGGTTTCTTTGAATACGAATATGTACTTTTAGTGCAAGTGATTTACTTAACTTTGTTTGATTTCCACCTCAGACTATAGATTTGATCCAGTTTGACAAGCTTCCAGCAGGTAATGTTTCCATACATACACCGGTTGCTCTTTTTATTATAATTTTAGTCTGTGTTGTGTTGAGATGGTTTGATCTTCGACTTAACCACTTGGGCCCAGTTGTTCGAAGGCCGATTAGCGCTTAACCCAGGGTTAAATTTAACCCGGGTTTCTATTTCTTTTGTTCAAAAGCATTTTCTCGGATAATTTTCTCTGTTATTTTTAAGAGCATCCAATCATCAACTTGCTGACAAAAAGAATAAAGCTGAAATTACTCTCTAAGATTTTATTTCTGAATTCAAATTTCGCACTAACCCTGGGTTATCTTAACCCAGCTTTGAACAACTCTGTTCTGTGTGCTAATAAAGACACTGGTGCTTTAAAGGCTTGTCTCTCACAGAGGTCTACGAGGAAACTTCTCTTTCCCGAAGAAAGATAGAATGATTTGTCTTGCTGCTTTTAATTGTTGTCAGTTGTAATTTGTCACGCCATTAAATATGTGTAGAATGGGTATAAGCTTTCGACGCGACAATAATGGCGTTAGTTGACAAGCGTTAGCTATGATTGATTTATGGTTGCCAAGGATATCATCTAGTAATCATACCTAATGTCTGACTGCCCAAGCGATTCCACTGATCCCAGAAATCATTGCACCGAAAGCTTGTACCTAGGCCACTCTCCCTATAGGTCATGGAGAGGGGAGTAAAATCAGACTACTCTCGTTTCTGCCTGTAAGGGAAAATTGTTCTACCTCCTAAAATTTAAGTCTTTGTTATCTGTCTGTTAGGTCAAAATGCTACAGTAGCAGTCATGAGCTACAGTGGATATGATATTGAGGTAAAACTGCTCATATTTTAATTGACATTTTACACCTTTTGTGTTCATTACGAGAAAATACGCATTCATTTGCGTGAAACGGCAACCAACAGCGCGAAGATACATTCGTTAGCGCGAAAAAGCGAACATTTGCGCATAAATCAGATTCAATAACGATTTTTGCATTTTAATCAACATTCAATAACGTTTTTGGGCATTCATTTGCGTCATTCGACATACAAAAGAGAAAAATATACTTTCATTATCGCCAACATTCAACATTATCTTGAAAATCATTAGGGACAATAGACAAACATTTAAGTGCAAACGCTATTCATTAACGTTTTTATGACACTGTTTGCAATTCAATAGCATTCCTGGACAGCTTTAGAATGGATAAGACAAACATTAATGCGCTTGTACAATCAATTAAGCGTTAAGGTTAAGGGGCAGAAGTATATTTTAATAGAATCTAAAATAGGCTTGCTCTTTGTATTGCTTTTTGAAATGCTTCCCTTTTTGACTGCGTTACGCCACTTTTTAAGTTCAGCTAGAACTTCCCAGCGCCATTTTCCCGCGCTTTTTGCTGGTTGCATGCTATTGTTTCGAATGGTTGCTTGGGCCTGGTGCTGGCATTTATAAGGAAATGTCTGGCGTTGGGGCAGTCTTGTCCCCATATCAGACATTTCCTTATAAAAATTTCCCTGAGTTAAGGAGCTTATGAAACTTTGCAGTTCGGCATGAAAAAACCGATCTATGAAAAAAAAATTGCAATATTGCGTGACGTCTGCGAAACAAGTTGTGTATAAGCGTGTCCATGGTGCTGGTCAGTCAACTCTTTTGTTCTCGTGGTTTTAATGTTTGAAAACCGCTTTAATCATGATAAAAGTGAGAATAATGTTTTATGTTTTATTTAGATATTATATGCTTTTGTTTCAGGATGCCTTGATTTTGAACAAAGCTTCAGTGGACAGAGGTAGGCACATGCATTGATATCGAGGTCGAACTTTTTTGTTGTCGACTAAGTTCTCTTGAAAACGCTATTTCATATTCCAACCTTCGTCGCAATCAGCTGTTTTTGTTAACAAACCTAATCTCTTTTTCCGTTCACAGGTTTTGGCCGTTGTTTGGTGTACAGGAAGCAAACTTGCTTGTTAAAGAGATACGCGAATCAGGTAATCTTGTACTCACATCTCTTGTCGACGAAGCCGATAAATACAGCGCGCTTGTACCCTGTCTCTGTGTTTTTAAGCCTGTTGCTTGTGAATCGTGAGAACCCTAAACGAGTGACAAAATTGTTAAGGAGTCTGGGAGACATAAATTGATTGCTGATGTCGTTGAAACTATTGAAGAAACTAGCTCGACGAATAAATAGTTTGTCATCCGTATTGGCTGTTATGAAAGGTCTTGATCTTGCTACGCAACAGTCATTGTTGCTGGAAACACAATTGTTGTAACGCATCTTGTTTCGTTTTTATTTTTCATCTCGCTGTTGAACACTTGGATGTGACAGACTTTTGACCGAGTCATGGGTAAGAGAAAACCTCTAAACAAGTACTTAGGACAAACTGTTAGTTAACAATACCTTTCACATAAGTTTGGACCAAGATCTTCTGGCTAATGTTAGTTCTAGGAATGTTGTTGTTGTTTGTGGTGTAAATTTTGTTGAGGATTGACTTTTGCCTTTTTATTGTAATTGTGTAGGTCCCAGTAAAGATGCTAGTACAGGGGAAGTGATTTGGAGACACAGAGCTCTAGATGCTGATGGAATTTGTTCTCCAGGTAGGTCCACGTATAGTGACGTGCAACAGTGCTTAGTAGGACTGTTTAGTTGCATTTTATGCAATTGACATCAAATGAAATGAATCTAATTATGTGAAAATGCAAAAAGTGCTGTGCTGCACTGGTGGAGGAGAGGAATTGACAAGACGTTGGTTGTATCAAACAAAAAATTTCTCATCCGTTTGTCTTTGTGAAGCCGGCAGTGACAAGAAAAATTTAGCGGTGGTTATACTTAGTGTAAACGCGATCATTACATGTACTTTTGCAATGACGTAAAAATATTTTTCATAGGTTAATTTTATTTTTCATGTTATTTGTTCTAAGCTTCAAATTACCCTCTTTTTTACCAGTATATTTTCTCTCTAACATCCCCGAATGTAGCCCAAATAAATGATAAATTAAGCCTTGTGATTGCTGGAATAGCTCGAATAAACAGCTGACATTTCTCGACGCCAGCACTGATTTCGTTTCGCGGGGTAACCAGTGGTAGCGTCGCAAAATGTTGGCTTTTTTCTCAGGCTATTGCTTGAAGAATTCGTAAGATAATTAGTTACTTCCTTTTGACATATATCACAGGTGAAAGAATAGAAAACAAGCAAGTACTTGTCAATAAGTCCATGCCAGTTGTAACATCTTCGGGACTTCAACCAGGTAATGTCGCCTTTACGATTTTTCTTTGGTTTCCTCATGTAATCCTGCGTCCATTTGAAATATTTCTGCACATAATTCTTACTCTTTATATGAACGAGAACGATCATTTGATAGCATCCTTAACCCACAACTCGACAGAATTTCATCAGGCACTACCAAAATTTGAAATGTTTGATGCTAATTTGTGTATCTGGCAAAACAGCAAACTACAAAGACACATTTGGGTTTGTAATCAGAAATTTGTTGTTCTCAGTGAGGTGTCTTTTTAAGGTCGTTTACCGTTCAGAAGTCGTTTTTGTAGCCCTATAGACCTATTCCACGGAATTTTTTTTATACACAGGGACTCCAGGCCAGCCACCCCCGCAACCTCAGTACAGAGATGTTCCTGTGTCGTAAGTATACTTTATTACTTATTGCCTTGTCGTTAAGTCTTTTGAGAGTGCGCTGATGGTCAAACGAATCTGTACTTATGAGGAAAAGGATGAAAACAGCTATAAACACTGTATAGTGGATAACTTCTTTCATAGGGAAGAATTTTAATTTCAGATAGATAAAATGTAACGTCACAAACGGTGTTTCTAAAAATGTTTGGCTTTATTCTGAAGTTTTTGTAGCACCTTGCATGGGATTTGTCATCAAGGAGTAAACAATTTATCAATACACTAGACACCATCTCTTTATTAACAGGTATAAAGGCCCAAAAGATATTTACATCGAACGAGTTCTGGTAACATCAAATGCCGAAGAGGTGAGATATTCAGTATAATAATATCATTAGAAAATCCTTATTGAGGATGCCGACATTACATACAAAGGGGGGTCCTCAACAAAAAATTACAAAATTAATATAAGTAAAAATTATTCAGAAACAAATTAAAAGGAAACACATAATAGAGCTTAGCAAAGTATAAGAATCAAAAAAGAAAAAAAAGGGAATAAAAGAAAGAATAATTACAAGCTAAAAATGCACTAACATACGGGAAAAAAATAATAATTAAAAGTTGCCTTTTGACAAACCACGCTTAAATGCCAAATAACAGTGAAAACTACAAGCAGTGATTCCTCATTGATCATCTTTTCGCTTCCATGTAAGGCTTTCCTGATCAAGATTCTACAGAGACAAACACGGCGCCCAGAGATTGGTGACAAGTTTAGCAGCAGACATGGTCAAAAAGGGTTAGTGTTATAAAAAGAGTTGTGGATATGTATTATCTACTGCATGGCTCAGTTAGAGAACTACGCTTTGTTTGCTTCAGCTTGATTTGTTCGTTGCTGTTACAGCGGAAATAGAGAGACTCAGCATCACGTTTTGGGCAAACTTCATTTTGTTACACGTGACCAAGGTTTCTTTTTACAGGTCGTTTTTAATGTTCATTATTTCACAAAACTGCCCATCTCCTAATTTGAGAAACTAAAATCTAAAGTTTGTCTTCGTTGGCATAAACGTGATACGAATCGCTCCAATGTGCAGAGTAATAGTTTAATATATATAATTATTTAACGGGTGGTTTGCATTGTTCACCTTGCTTATTGTAGCAAGGAGGGCTGCACATTAGAATTTTAAAACAGCTGACTTTTACTTGCTATTAATCTTGAACTTTCATTCTTTCTTAGAGTTTGTGGCTTAATCGTTAATCAGGAGGATATGCCCTTTACTGATCTGGTAGGAATCTCTCACTTTAACGATCTCTTCTTTTACTGTTTTCGTTAATTATATGTAGTATTTTTTCTAACGGCTTTTTTATTTTACTTGTTGTTCTCAGGGTATCTGTCCAGACATTGTAAGTATTATACTGGCCTATTTGTTGAATTGAAACCAAACTTTGAAATGAATGTCCATTTCATCTCTCATCCATTAGGAGGGCTAGATTTCGGAGTAATTCACGTTTTACCCCTGATCATTTACAGTCTGTCGTACAAAATGGAAATAAAATAAATGGTCTCTATTCACCCTTGGCAATGTTTGAAGCGCGGCAAATAAATAAGACAGATAATCGAAACCAGCAGTTGGCAAATTACAAATCGGCCGAGGAGTAGGACTTGGTCCTTCCGAAAAATATATATACTGCTAGTGATTAATGCAGCGCTTGAACGCGGAACCACCACTTTGTCGTGTTACCTCCGTCTTACCGTCTTGGACCTAATAGGTGTAATAGTGATTGTCTGAAAAGCTGATACACTGCTTGTGATTCCCTTATCTTTAGTTTTCATAGCATTTGAATGTTTTCTTCAAAGAAACGAATTGAACGAGAAGATATCAATTTGGAAACGGATTACTCGGCTATAGGTTAGGCTCAATATGGTCTTCTCGAAGAGAACACACAAGCAACAGCTGCGGTAGTTAATATCATTTTCTCTTTTTCGTATTCCTAATTTGAACTGTCTTATTTGATTGTTAAACAGATTATGAATCCTCACGGTTTTCCATCTCGAATGACTGTAGGCAAGCTAATTGAACTAATGGCGGGTAAGGCTGGTGTTTTGAACGGACACTTCGGATATGGAACAGGTAAACAATGAGGATCCTTGGTTATCAAAAATATCTACAGCCGAACCTCGCCTTACATACACGTCTATAATAAAGACACCTCTCCACTTGGAAACCGAGTTCTTACAACCTCTCTATGGAGACCTTATTTATGACGATTGACTACAATGTGACATAAGTACCACAGCAAAACCGATGCGGCCTCTACTGATCATAAAGCGAGGAAGCCCCGATATCCACTTACAAATTCTCCAAACTGACCTCCGTACATTTCCTTAAGTAATTAGTTGAGAGAATTTGATAGAAGATCAAAGCAGTTTCCCTGAGGTGATCATTTTATTTATTCTCCTAACCTTTTCTTTAGATAATTTGTTGATATTGTGAGGAGAAAATTCATGTTGGTCACTTTTGAGACTTACAGGGTTTATACTACTACATGAGAAATTTCTGCAATTTGATTGGCTTAGAGCAGTGGTATTTCAGCTTAATTTGAAATACCTACATGTGAGAATTACAAACTTCTTGAGCGTAGTAGTAAAAACAAATAATAGCATGATTTGTATGTGATATTTGGCATAAAAATCACTGGTGGTATTAATGCCAAATATCACTAAAAATCATGCAATTACCTATACTAATACAGAGGGTAAATCCCTATTTAGTGGAAATTATTTCCAACCAGACATCTCACAACGATCCGTTAGATGGTCTTTGGTTCTGTTTTAAGGCTGGTTTTCAAATAGTCGCTACGATTGTTGAAAGCTCCACTCTTTTCAGCCATTGTGCTGACCGATTGTTGTGTTCCCAGTCTTAAGTTTTAACATCATTGTGGACGACAAGTACAAGAAACACTGATCGATACCCTATCCTCTTGACTTGTTTTCAGCATTCGGAGGCGACAAAGTGGAGGATGTTTGCTCTGCCCTTCTAGAAAAGGGTTTTAGTTACACAGGAAAGGAATTTGTAACGTCTGGCATCACTGGGTGAGATAAGACTGTACAATTACTTTTCCCCGGGGGGGGGGGAACTTGGGTTAATTTTTGCTGGGTATGTGCTGCTGGCCTCTCAGAGCCCCTACCCCATTATAGTCTATTCTGTGGCCAATTATAGACCCCATCTTAGTTACTTTTGGGCAAATATGTAATTTCGCAATCCAACTTAGTCACTTTCTATTTTTATGAACTGACCCATTTTTTAGATTGAATGAAAAACACTTTACTTTTCATTTACAGTACAAACATTCTGGTACGTTTGCTAACCATAAATATCAAGAACTGTCTTAGCCTAAAAAATCTGAAAATGTGCGACCCTATTCTAGCAACTCTATTGAAAGTGTGACCCCATTATAGCCAATCCAGTCGTGAAAATGCGATCCCATCCAGAGGCACATCCCCATTAGCCTCTTGTAAGGAAGTACCCCCCCGGTTCTTTTTTGCCGAAAAGACAGAAACCTGTCGCCTGGGTAGCTGGCTTTTCTATTGGAGCGTAATAGAAGAAAAGTGCCAGGCGATAAACCACAAGAAGAAGTGAAAACATTCCTCACGCCTATTCCTTTCGCGGCTTGGCTGCACTCTAACGAAACCATTTACCAACAGTCCAGAAAAACTAAGGCCCACCAAATTTACATATTTTTTTTATAATCCGCTCTCTTGCAACACGTGTTTCATTTGATTTTCTTTCTGTTTTTATTGCCTCTAGGGAGCCGTTAACAGCCTACATATTCTTTGGCCCGGTCTATTATCAGAAGCTGAAACACATGGTGTTGGATAAGATGCACGCTCGTGCCAAGGTCAGTGGTTTTCTTTTCAATTTCAGACCCGGTTGTTACACGCTAAAACCTTCAGCTGAAACTAAACGTAGGTAATAGCTTTGTGAAGAAAGGAACGCTTGGTTTTAACTAAAAAAGGGTTGCTGTACAGGCAGCTTTTTGTTGAGATGTTGCCAAATTTCATTCAGTTCCCACTTCTATTAAAGTGCATATGAACCGAAAATTATTTTTAGTCAGTTAAAATCTTTATCATTTAAAATTCTCGATTCCAAAGCTTGAGATGTTTTGAGTAAAAACTGCCGATTTTATAAGCGATCGAAGTTGGCCTATTTCGTACCAAAAAATGGTCTTCAAATCACGCGGTCAAAATATTACGTGACTTTATGCTGATGACGTAAATTACGTAATTTTGGTTGCATCTTGAATCATTCAAACAAAGCAACTATGGCGGAGAGCTCGAAAACACCGAAAGCGACGCGAAGAGGAGGGCGATATTGAAGGAGAATTCAACCTCCAGAAAGCTCAGAAAAATGTCTTAGCTCTAGGTGAGAATCGAGTTCTAGTTCGGACGCTCTAACCACTGAGCTACTGGAACTCTAATGGCGAACATTGCAGCCGGGATTTGCTCGAAAATCGGCCGTCCACCAGCGTACAAACCCAAGACTGTATATTTATATTAAAGAAGAAGGAGAATTCAAACACCAGAAAGCTCAGAAAAATGTTCCGACTCCAGGTAAGAATCGAACTCACGACCCTCCGTGTTCTAGTTCGGACGCTCTAACCACCTGTGTAATCCATGTAATGCGGACACTTGACCCTGTGCCATTGGTGTCCATGTAAACGCCGACGTTGGACTGTGTTAATGTTTGCCTCTGTCTGACTCCAGCACGTTAATACTGACATGGTGTGCGTTCTTGAATCTCCTGTTTATCTAGGGGCCAAGAGCTGTGTTAACACGTCAACCAACGGAAGGTCGCTCAAGGTGACAAGTAGTGGTATTATAATTTAGGTGTAGAATCGCGTATATGGCAAACGGTGTATGTCACGTTGTACCACGTGGCGAAGTTTGTGCCGTTACTTGTTGTTTACTTCTCATTATACCGACTCGATAATTTTCCTAGTTTTTGAAATTGTTTACTTGAATCTGATTCCCCCAGCGTAATTCAAACCTTCCCTTTTATTGCCAAAATGTAATTTTAATTTAACACGACGCAGTTTACTGTAAGTACTGTTTTTCGTGTTGTAGGAGGCAAACGACTAGAATTCATTTGAGGTCTGTCTTACAAAAGGAGCTAAACTTGGTAACTTGGCATTTTTTTTTTCAGGGACGGTGGCTTGCGATTGGGTGAAATGGAGCGCGACTGCTTGATAGCCTACGGTGCCAGGTGGGTTTATGTTCTGCAAAATCTCGATAATTTTTTAAACTGTTGGTCAAATTAAATATCTTCTGTTGTTTAGTACTCAGCGAAACAAAGGACCTCCCAATGGACCACAAGGGCGAGTTTACGCTTAAGCGCGACTCTTCAAATCCAGTTAACTTGAAATTCGAAAGTCGTAAGGTTCCTGTGTAGTCTTTATGTCTGCCACTGCAAAATAATCTTTAGCGTAAAGCAAATGGGACACTTTGTACTTTGATGCATCCAAGTTTTGGACAGGCAGTGTGAAATAAGTGTCTAACCGTTGCTAACTATACTTACTGTCATACATTCAAACGAAGTAAAATTATATATATGAAACTAAAACGGGTACTGCGTGGTGATTTGCAATTCTCTGGGTGGAATCCTTTCAAAATGAAACCTTAAAGCTGTCAGCTCCGATACTCGGAATATTTTTTCGTTATATGATTATCACCTTTTTTGTTTCGTACCAGCATGCTTCTGCTTGAAAGGCTGATGATTTCTAGTGACGCATTTGAAGTTGACGTTTGTAGTGAGTGTGGGCTGATGGGTTACTCTGGATGGTAAGAACACTCGATAATTCCCTTATTTAGAGGTCAGTCTCTTAAGGGCTTTTGGTATTGAGAGACGTAACTGTAAAAACGTCCGTAACAGTTCGTATGAACCTTAAAAATTACCGTTGCATAGAGGCTTGTGTTACATAACGCCGAACAGGTTGATGGACCAAGTATCATTTCCTATCGGCTTTGCTTGTGTATACAGTGATATTCATAACACACCTGGACACTTGCCTTACAGCCTGCACACAGCCACCCCAGTGAAAAATTCGGAAAGGGGGAGGCTGTACACAGGCTATTGACTTAAGGTCATACGCTATTGTGTCATTCATTTGCAGGTGCCACTACTGTTCGTCTTCACACAACATTTCCACTTTGAAAATACCTTACGCTTGCAAACTGCTGTTCCAAGAACTTTTGTCCATGAACATTGTTCCTCGACTTTCACTCAAACACTACACTGACGAATGACATGGAGATTTTTTTTGAAGTTTTAATGACTCCAGGAGCCAAGGATGCTGCGGTACTGGGTGCAGAGATACTCCCACAGTGAAGGCGAATTTATTAACATGGTGCAACTCGTGTTTTTTGTTCACAATAGGAAATTTATCAGAAAAGTAAATAAACAAATTATTTAACTAAGAAAGAAGACCTCTGCATTATTGCTCTTCTTGTGCAGCCGTATTAAATGCTTGCTTGAGGCGAGATCAACACCGGTCGCATCCCATCCTTATTGTATCATTTTGGTGAATGACTTATGGCGATTTTTCGTGTTGCTCCCCACCCAGCTGTAGTGAAACTAAGGGATGAGTCACGTGATCTTGCGAACCCATGCAACGAGAAAAGCCCTCCGGTAAAGTGGTATTGCGTCATGCAATGCTTGCATTCATTTGTTATAAATGAGCTAACTCCTCTTTGTTACTTATACAAGTGATGAACCCTGTAATCCATTCATTGTGTAGGAACACGCTGCTGCTCAAGAGGTACTCCCTTGTTTAGAACATTTTAGGAAGCTAAGGTTTGGACAAGGGTTCGGGGAGGGGTATGATTTCGCCATTCGTAGCGTCAAGTGTTCGGGGTTTCTCCGAGTCGAAGGCTGGTCTTTAGAGTAGTCAACTTACCAGCCTTCCTTCTTTCCGGGGTCTTCGATATATAGCGCGAGATAACGCGAGTTGCTGGAAATACAAGAGGCACGTGGTACCATGACAAAGAATAGAACGGCAGATGTAGACCTCACAGATATTCTTGGTGTTATGGAGGCCAATGTCTTGATGTTACTTATGATCTTGAATCTTACGCTTGGTATCATTTGTTGATCATAACATCCACAAAATGCCCACATCTTCATCCTTTATTGTGGCGCTATCGTTAGGCCTTTTGGTGCGAGGTAGAAGAGGTCTCGCGCAAATGCTGCTTTATGC